AAACAAAACAAAAGGTGAAAAGCAATTAAGGAAGTCACCAGATGTCAACCTCTGGCCTCCAAACACATGTGTACCAACACAGATGTGTAACTACTGAGTTTCAGAGGTTTCCATGAGATGAAACCTTATTGTTGTTGTTGTTGTTGTTGTTGTTTTAAACAAAGTCTTATTATGCAGCACTTGCTGACCTAGAACTAGAACTTGCTATGTAGACTAGGCTGGCCCTGAACTCACAGAACTCCACCTGTCTCTTCTCCAAAGTGTTGGGATTAAAGGTATGCACTGCCCAGCTGAGATTAATCTCTTAATAAAAGAAATCTATAAAAAATATACAGCATAGCACAAACTTTTAAAATTTTTGTTTTTAGATGTATGTTTTCTTGCTATGTATGTAAGTGTACTACATGCATGCCTGTTGTCCATGAAGGCCAGAAGAGGGCATTGGGTTCTCTGGAACTGGAGTTAAGAACAGGTATTAGCCACCACATGGGTGCTGGAAACCAAACCCAGGTCCTCTAGCAGAGCAGTAAGTACTATTAACCACTGAGCCATCTTTCTAGCCCCTCCCTCACAGATTTTTCTTTTTAACAACTAAAGTCAACCATCCTGAGCAAACCTTCTGTAAGACTTGAGTGCCCCCTTTTAGACGCCTTTCCAAGGTACACACAGTCTCCTCCTTCATCTCCCTGTCTCCATTCCCCTTTCCTCATTCCAACACTTACCTGTTATACAGAGTCAGTGGTAGAGGAAAAAGAAATAAATCGAACCAATGAACTTTTTTACATTGTTCAGTATTAAGTCTTCTCTGAAAATTGAGACAGTCTCAGTAGAGGTTTACAGCAGGAAAAGAACACCCATAATCCCAAAGAGAACCCTCATGACCAGGCTCAACTCCAAGACTAAGAGTTCAGGAGATCAAAGATGAACAGTCCCCTAGCACCACAGTCATATTCAGGAAACTTCCTCAATTCTAAGTGAACCAAGAGTTTGGAAGGCCAAGTTCATCACTGCTGTGGCCTATGCAAGGCATGCCCGCAGCATGAGAAAATGATGCATACATTTCACAAGTCAAAGTTTCCCTGCCCACACCACAAGACAGCAGAAGCCAATGACTGCAACCAGAGAGGGAAGTACTGACCTTCCTGCAAATAGGGACAGGTGGATATTCAAATTAGTAATTGGGAAAATAGATGTTATAATATCTACCTTGAAATGATATCCTAAGATCACATGGCTTTAAATTATACTGTTTATAATGACATTCTTATGAGTAAATGCCTCAAGAAACAAATAAGATTTTATACAGCCCTATGCCATACATGAGCTCCAAATTATAATACAGCAGCAACAATACAGGTCTCATCAAGAGTGACTGCAATTTGAGACATATTAGCACAGGAGGAAGGAAAAAGATGGAACTACTGTGTTAGAAAAGTTTTAACAAGCTTTGTTGGCTATGAAATGTAAGTTCACTCTGCTCACCCACACCCCTGGGCATAACCTAGTGAAAGAAGCTTTGATCAAGAAGTTAAAAGTTACAAAGACAGGTAATGGGGATGTAGGAGTTGGCTACTGGCACAGACAGCAGGCACTGGAAGTCTGGATCAGAGGTTTTGCTTTGAAGTGTACACCTGTGCCAGTGTGGGCTTCCCCGCTGCAAAGGGCCAGACAAAACTAAGGCCTTTGTTGTGGCATATCCATGAACACCACGGTACTCATAAGGACAAATTTTAAAATAAGATGCTGAATTCTTCCTGTTAAAAATTAAGGGAAACAATTTCTGAGGATGCTTTAGGAAAGTAAGTTGTTTTCTGTCTCTGGGGAACATGTATGAACCCACAAACCTACATAGATCTCTTACCAGCATTATTACCCAAGAATGTCTTTCTCAATGACTTGAGAGTTTTGCCTCTATATCAAAGCTTTTGTGGGAGGGTAAGATCCTGACTTATATGGGCACTATGTTTAAATAGCAAAATGATTTCCTCTCAAAAATATATGAAAAGCTTGGCTTTTTCCCTCTGACTGAGCCATTTAAACAAACACAAATAGAAGGCACTATGTATGTCAAAGGGCATTATCAAATTCTCTTGCCTAAGGATTGGGGGGGAGTGTTTTTGAGGCAGGGTCTCACTCTGTAGCCCAGGCTGGCCTGAAACTCACTATGTAACAGAGGCTGACTTTGAGCTTTTGGCAATCTTTCTGCCTCAGGTCCCCAAGTGTGAGCCACCATACCAGGCTTGAGGATTGGTTATTATTTACTTTGAGAATAATGTAATGTTTTAAAAATCTATCTGGCTATATAAAAGAATGAGATTTCTGTCTCTTTTTTGTTTGTTTTTGTCTTTTTGAGACAGGATCTCCTGTAGCCCCAGATGACTTGGAACTCATGTAGACCAGGCTGGCCTCAATCTTACAGCAATCTGCCTGCTTCTGAGTGCTAGGATTAAAGGTGTATACCACCACACCCAGCAAGATTCTGTCTTTATAATTTCTTGGCAATTGCCTGTGATATGCATCACATTCTGGTTTAAGGGCTATTCAGTAATAAAGCTATTTTCTTTCTCTGTTACCTTTGTAGAGAGGTTTTGAGGGTTGGGAGACAATTTTGATTTTAAATATATTCTTCTGACTGGGGGTGTAGCTCCATGGTAGAATGCTTGCCTAAGAATACATGAGGCCCTGCATTCGATATTCAGTATTTTGGGAAGAGGGGGATTAGTATTTCCCAATATACTGCATGTGCTTAAAAAGCAAACAGTAAAAAATGTAAAAAGAAGCGGGGGAAGGACACCTGTTGAGGAAGCAGAACACAGTAAGAAATGACAGGAATGTCTATGAGTGATGCTGGTATTCAATTGTGAACAGTAAGTTAAAACATAGAGGGCTATGTGTCAAACATTGTTCTAAGTGTTTAAGTTACATTAACTTACTTAGTTATGCAGTTCTTTGGATTACTTTTCTCAATTATCCATTCTGTGTGTGTGTGTGTATGTGTGTGTATGTGACCTCACAGCACACCTGTGGAAAAGGCCAGATCCTGCTATTACAAAGAGTGGGGATTTTATAGAATAGGATGACACAAAAAAAAAGGGAAGAAAGGGGGCTGTCATAGGCACCCTATTCTGACCATAGAACATATGGGCAGAAATGGTCTTAGAAGATGGTAAATGGTAATCCACTGAGGACCAGACACTGCTTTGAGGTTTGGTGGCTAGAAGGTAGGGCTAGAACTGCCTCAGATTTTCCCTACCAACCATTAGCACTCCAAGTCTTTTTAAAGTCTGTCCCCAGAAAACAGATCTGCATAGCCCTAGCCTACCCCAAGACACTAAACTATAATGACTTAGCTCACAAAAATCTAGATAGGGACCTGTGCAGGTGACAAAGCCTGAGTCCTGAGCCACCCTTCCACTGTTTACAAAGTCTCTAACCAGCACTGGTGTTAAATGCTGTTCCTGACTCTCCTAATTCTGAGACTCATGAAGGACCAGGAAATAGCTTGGAAAACAAATTCGACCTGGGATCTACTGAAGAAGGGCTGACTCTTATTACCTGGGAAGAACACATTCATGGGAAGTGCCCATGTCTGTCTGTACCAATGTGATTCTATACGGCACCCTCATATCCAGACTGGTATTCTTGGATGCCAAACATGTTCTGCACCCACCCACTGTGGAGGTTGGAGAAAATGAGGTATTCACTGCTCTGCCTTAAGCCTCCCTCAAACTACCTGGTTCAGGATACCTGGTATACTTAAAATCTCGATGATGTTTAGGTGGGTGGAAGAGGAGAAGCTGGGGATGGGGGAGAAGCGAGTGAGTAGGGCAACAAGTCTTGAAATGCTGCTTTTCCAGGAGTTAAGTAGCTTGAAGATCTATTCCTGGGGAGTTATTGAAGGGCAGCATTAGAAAGCAGTAGACATCGGAAGCTGGAGGCCTTTGGGGGCTACACTCTGTCTAGCAGCAGAGCATCCTCCAGACCCCAGCACACCCTCCCAGGCTCACCTTCCAGAAGTATTCCTCTGGTCTCTGATAGATAGGAATGTTGGAGAGAGCGAGCGGCGAGGGCGGGCAGATGGAGAGCATGAGCTGATGGAGGAGGCACAGAGGCACAGATGGAATTCTCAGCGGGATACAGATTTATTTCACACGGGGCACCTTTCCCTCCGGGATGGGAAAGATGTCAGGGAAAGATGTCCGCCCACAGGTTGTGAGCTGGGACTTTATATATGGGGGCTTTAGGGTATGGAAGGGGGGAATGTTTGGGGGAGAAATCAGGAAGGGGGAAGCAGGAAAAGCAGGTAGGATTAGGGTCTGGAAGTGTTTCCTCTTAAGATAAGAGAAAAACAGCTTCTAAAATCTCTGGTTACCAGGTAGAATCTGCTTATCTTATCTTTGGAGGTCAGAGGAAAGGCAGGCTGCTTCTCAGCAGAGTTTGTTTCCCTTGAATTCAAAGGTCAAGGTGAGGTCCCTGTTGGAGAGGGGGGAAACTGCTGCTGTTTGGAACCCTAACAGTCTCAGCACAGAAAAGAGGAGACTTCTCCCATCTCCATCTGAAAAATGGGCTCACCTCCTCTTCAAGTTCCCCCAAACAACCGAAGACCTAGAAAAGTGTCCTATCTTCCTTGACTACTGCAGGAAGCTCCTGCCCTGGGGCCTCCCGGATCTAAAGCCATCCTTCCCCGCCCCGACGACCGCCACCCCACCTCCCCATGCACAGCAAAGCTCTCAGCCTCATTCTGGCCAGGGCCCGACAGCTTCCTGCACACTCGCACCCACTAGCCGACCCAGAGGCACAGCCCTTCCCCACAGCCTTCTCTACGGTGGGGCTAGCAGGTTCAGGCTAGTCCAGGGCGGAGACTTGGGAGTGCCTAGAAATTGCGAAGGCGGGGATACAGGTCCATCTTTTAAAGGCTTGGGAATGGCCCTGAGGCAACGGACGCCCTGGGCGATCTGCGGATTGAACAGCACCTAGACCCCTTCCCTGAGCGGCCAGAGGGCGCCATGGTCCTCTACCGCATCAGCGTCGTCACTGGGGCCTGGCTCTTCTCGGGATCACTCAACCGCGTGGGGCTGTGGCTGGTTGGGGCGCACGGGGAGGCGAAGCTGGAACTGCAGCTGCGACCGGCGCGGGGAAAGGTCAGTGGGCAAGAGCTGAGCTCGGGGCGGGCGGGGGCGGGGATGCGCGACCCAGGAGTTCTGCGTGGGCTGCAGGACCGAGAGTCATAGACCCAGTCTGGTCTCCCTCCCGGACCCTTGTCTTGGCATCCTCCAACTCCTCCTGCATAAATAGCCCCAGAGACGGTAAATATAGGACCTGTGGTCAGACGTGACCTCTTCCAAGCACGAGTGTGGTGGGAGCGCAGACTGGGATGGCACAGGTGATGACGGTGCCCCGTCGTCGGTTCAGAGCACTGTGGTCAGCGTGCTGCAGACTGGCCCAGAATGGACACTTTAGACCCAGCCGACAGATTTGAGGGTGGGAGGGGCGGAAGCCAGATGTTCTCTGCCCTCTGTGGTAAACAGGCTCCCCAAAGGCCGGCTCCAGCCACAGAAGGCTTCTAGAGTGCCTGCTACTCAGTCTGGCGTGTCTGGTCCCCACAGGAGGAGGAGTTTGTCTTCGATGTTCCCGAGGACCTGGGGCCGCTGCAGTTCGTGAAACTTCACAAACAGCACACAGTGGTGGACGACGCCTGGTTCTGCGATCTCATCACCGTGCAGGGCACTGAAACCAGTGCCGAAGCAGTTTTTCCCTGCTACCGCTGGGTGCAGGGAGGTGGGGTGCTGAGCCTGCCGGAGGGCACCGGTGAGCAGGCAGCGGGTGAGACCTGCCTGCTCACCGTATGCAAGTAGCCTGGAGGGGGAGGAGTGCGGAAGGTGAGGGTGGGGGAGGAGGGAATAGGGCTAAGGAAGACCAGAGGGGACCTCAAGAAAGGATAGAAACCCACAGGTGCAGAGTCCCCATCCAGGATGAGAGTCAGGAAACCCGAAGTATGGATTCCTAAAGCATTAGCCAGAATAAGTGATGCTACAAATGAGTTAAAAGGGAAATAAGTGAACTAGGGATCCTGTCCTCCTAAACTGGGAGTAGGCCATGCAGCTGTGGAGGAAATCAGAAACAGAAAAAAGTACAAAGACTTATGTGATTGAGAACAGGTTAGGGCAGGGGACAGGAGGGGGGCTCATACAATAGGCCAGTGAGCAAGGACAGCTGTGGGGACAATGGTATAAGGATGGAGAGTTACTTCGACTGGAGTGATGTGGAACACCTGGCAGGAGGAGGGTGAAGAGCAGCAAAAATTCAAGATTTTACCACAGGAAACAAGTAAGAGAGAGAGATGAACAGAAACATATGGAGGCCAGGGCGGTAAGGATGAAACAGCACTTTGAAACAGGTAAGTGTGAGAGAACACATTGATAAATATGATTAGCTCAAGAGAGTAAGTCAGGTAATGAGAGTAAGGGACAGAGACTCTGGAGGACAGGTGAAGTTTAGGAAATTAATCAAAGCAATGGTGTGGGCCACCGGTGATAAAGACTTTGATCACCTTAATTAGGGTGAGTTTTTTTCCCCCAACACTGGATATTGACAATATAGGTTCAGGTAGAGAAAGATGTTTAAGGAACAAGAAAAACGTGGAAAATACGAGATTCTGTTCTTCAGGAAAGAGATAATAGGCTAAAGTAAGTAAAATTGGGAGCATAAGATAGGCAAGGATGGGATGAATGTGTCTAGGGACCAGTCAAGTGAGGCTGAGCTGGAGAGTAAACGCAACTGAGCAACAACTGGAAACAAGAGCTCTGACTACAAGCAAGAATGCTCAAAGCCAGACAGAAACGTACAGCTAATCATAATGTCTCCCCAGCCCGCCTGGCAGGAGACAACACCTTGGATGTCTTCCAGAAGCATCGAGAGAAAGAACTGAAGGAAAGACGACAGATCTATCGGTGACCACCCACCCACAGGCCCCCCCAGCTGTCCTGCCCTTTCCCCTTCCCTGCCCCCATCACTGACCTCAACACTCTCCCTGAAGTGTTGTCCCCATCTTATAGCTGGGCTACCTGGAAGGAAGGCTTACCTCAGACAATAGATGCAGACTGTAAAGATGATCTACCTCCAAATATGAGATTCCATGAGGAGAAAAGGCTGGACTTTGAGTGGACACTGAAGGCAGGGTAAAAAAAAAAAAAAAAACAGCTGCAGCTCATGAGGGCATTGAGGCTGGGAGGTCTAAGCATGGTGGTCTGTGGTGAGGAGCTGAGGGTCAGATGATGGGCTCATGCCTCAATACCTGTCCTAGGGCTCTGGAGATGGTCCTCAAACGTGTTTACACCCTCCTGAGCAGTTGGAAATGCCTAGAAGACTTTGATCAGATCTTCTGGGGACAAAAGAGTGCCCTGGCTGGTCAGTGGCTTCCCCCAATCTCTAAAACCCCTTAGTGGCCCTTTTTCATTACAATGTATGACCCTGTAGCTCCTTGCCAAATCAAAGCACATTATACCCAATAATCTCACAGAGGCCTCAAAATTGAAAAAAAAAAAAATAAGTGGGCTGAGCTGGGTATAGAATAGTCTAAATCCCTGAGGTAGACTCTAAAGAACAGAAATATCCAGGGTGTGGTAAATCTCCCTCTTGTGCTGTACCTCCAAACCCACAGAGAAGGTTCACCAGCGCTGGCAGGATGATGAGTTTTTTGGCTACCAGTTCCTCAATGGCGCCAACCCTATGCTATTGAGACAGTCCACCTCTCTGCCCTCCAGACTGGTGCTGCCGTCAGGGATGGAGGAACTTCAAGCACAGCTGAAGAAAGAACTCCAGGTACTCCCCTCCTGCCTGGCATTGTTCTACTTGTATAGAAAAACTGGCAAAGATGAGACACCAAAGTCAGGCTACAGGAAAGGAGGAACCCTTGTAACTGACTCATGCTGGAAAAAAAGATCTAAAAATGACAGTGCAGGCCTAGAGAGCTGGCTCAGCCATTAAAAGCTCAGGCTCACAACCAAAAATGACAATGCAGCATAAAAAGTACAAGGATTCTGGTGTGAATGGGAAAATAGGATGAATTTCTAGGGCACAGATTGAATCCAGAGGTATTAGCAGCAACAATGACGCTATTTTTTTAAACTATACAATTCATATTTAGACCCTATCCCCTATCTCTCCCCTCTCCCATAACTCCCCCCGGGGTGGATTTCATGCATTATGTCATATATGTTAAGGCATAGGGAGTCAAGTTTGTTTCCCCAGATGTCCCTTGGTGTGAGTTTATCCACTGGAGCCTGGTTAAACTAGCGTCACCCCCTTAAAGACCAACTCTCCCCAATGGTGGCTCTCTCAACAGCTGTCTTTGGTCCATCCTCTAGTTTTCATGCAGGTAAAAAGGCAAAGTCTGTGGAACGGGATTCAGGGAAGTTTTCTGGAAACTTTTAGACAATGAGTTTGGGAGGGATGTACTGCCCACCAGGAGGATAACCCTAGGCAGGGTGACTGTGTACACATGCACATGCAAGCTGGATTCAGTGGCAGTGGTAGCTAGGGGAAGCTCTGGGGAACATTCTTCAGAGTAGGCGAGATCTGTATAGAGTGGAAGAGGAATTGCTAATGGGAGCCAAAAGCAGAAAGCAGACCATACCACTTGGGGGTGACAGGGCAGGGGAACTGGCCATCTGGACAGAATCAGATTGATAATGTCTATGATACAAACTAGCCTAAGCATGTGTGGTTCTGAGCCTAGATCTACCACACACATCCCTCACAAGACATCTACCTTCATTAAGTTGGGGGTTTTTTTGGTTTTTTGGTTTTTTACTGTAAGATCAGAAGAATTGGACCAACCAGGTACTCTGACTCTGCCAACAGGATTCTGGAACTGACCTAAGGCAATGGCAAGACACTGGAGTCAATAGCCTCAAATGTCTTGCCCTTTGTCTGACCCTTTGAAATCTAAAAAATGGATACATTGCTCCTTTCTCCAGAATGGTTCACTGTTTGAAGCTGACTTTATCCTGCTAGATGGAATTCCAGCCAATGTGATCCAAGGGGAGCAGCAGTACGTGGCTGCCCCTCTTGTCATGCTGAAGCTAGACCCCAATGGGAAGCTGCTACCCATGGTTATCCAGGTAAGGTGCCCTAAGCATCTCGCTCCTAACACCATTCACTTAAAACCTCTGCTCCCAAGAGCCCAATTTCTTGGTACTTGGCTCCCAGGCCCTCTCTTCACTGGAAAATATTCTCATTTCACAGCCTAGGTTCCCCTGACTCACACAAATGGAAGTACTTATTCAAGAGTTAAAATAGTTGCTGGGTGCAGTAGTGCATACCTATAATCCCAACACTCTAGAGGCAGAGGATCATGAGTTCAAAACTACCCTTGAAACATAACAAGTTTCAGGCCAGCCTAGGCTACAAAGTAAGATCTTAAGGGGGTTAGAGGAGTGATGGAGAGATGGCTCAGTGGTAAAGAGCACCTGCTGCTCTTGTAGGGGACCTGGGTTCAGTTCCCAGCATCCACATGGCACCTTACAATCATCTGTAATTCCAGTTCCAGTGTATCTGATGGCCTCTTCTGACTTCCATGGGCACCAAGCATGCATGTGTTATACCTACACATATGCAGGCAAAATATTCATACACATAACATAAATAGATTTTTTTAAAGTCCTGATGACCTCTTGAGTTCTCATCCTATAATCAGAAGTCCTCAATCCTATAATCAGAAGTCCTCAAACATTAATGTGTTTCTGGATCACCTCAAGCACATGTTAAAAACACAGTTTCTGGATTGGGGATGTAGTTCAGTATAGAGCACTTACCTAACATGCACAAGGCTCTGGGTTCAATCCCTAGCACCCCAAAAAGAAATAAGTTTGAGTCCTACCACCAGCCTTTTTGGTGCAGTATGTCTGGAGTGGTAACCAAGAAAGTGCACTTCTTATGAGTTCCAAAGTAATGCTGATTCTAAGTAGTTCAGGACCACACTGAGGATCACTGTTTAATCTCTAAATGACCTCTAACTCCGAACATCCATTGTCTCTTTTTTGTTTTGTTTTGTTTTTGAGACAGGGTCTCCCTGTAGCCTCGGCTGTCTTAAAACTCTCTATGTAGACCAGACTGGCCTTGATCTCAGAGAGGTCTGCCTGCCTCTGCCTCCCCAGTGCTGAGAATAAAGGCGTGTGACACCTAACCCTGCCCATTGTCTCTGAACTTTCTCCTTGCTATTCCCATCAATCATTGATGAACACTGTCAATAATCTCATAAATCCAAAACTTGCTTTCCATCCCATCACTCAATCTCTCAGCCCCATATTTTCCCACAGCACTGCTAAGGCCTCCTTTCTGGACTCCCATCTCTCCTGCATTCAACCTGCTCATAATGGTACCACAGCAGAGTGACAGGTTTCTTATCCTTTCTTCCAGAGGATCAGCCTCTAGAGAGCAAGTCTTGCTTGGTCCATTTCCCCAGGAACTGTGACCTTATCAATACATAGGTGTTCAATAAATACTCAATTCTTGTTTTCCCAGATTCAGCCCCCCAATCCCAGCTCCCCAGCTCCAACATTGTTCCTGCCCTCAGATCCTCCACTTGCCTGGCTCTTGGCTAAGATGTGGGTCCGAAGTTCAGATTTCCAGCTTCAAGAACTCCAATTTCACCTGCTGAACACTCATCTGGTGGCTGAGGTCATTGCTGTCGCCACCATGAGGTGCCTCCCAGGATTGCACCCTATCTTCAAGGTATAGACTCTTCTATCCCATGTTCCTCAGACCCAAATGAGCTTCATCTCTCAGGCTCAAAAGAGATTAAAAAAAAAAAAAAAAACTTCATAGCAATTTGTGAGTGAAAGGGAGACAAGATTGTATCAAAACCCTAGAACTGTTATTTTAATCAAGATGAGTCACTTAGCATTTCTTCAAGATACTTTATAAGAGAGATCTCTGAAATTATCAAACATTCAGACATCCTAGCAATGGACTTACAGTATAGTTAAAATACTGTTAGAAGACGGGGCGGCAGGGGAGAAGTCTTATCCCACCATTGGAGAAATAGCATTTATCTAGGAAGACAAGTGACTAAGAACTAACTAGAGAGGCCTGGAGATGGCGCAGTGGGTACAGTGCTCACTGTCAAGCATGAGGACCCAACTTTAGAGCCAGCACTCATGTAAAAGCTGGGTGTGGATTCTGGGGGTTTTCTGGCCAGCCAATATAGCCAAAATGACAAGCTCTAGGTTCAGTTAAAGACCTTGTCTCAAAAAGTAAGGTGGAGGCCAGGTATCGTGGCTCACACCTTTAATCTCAGTTCTCAGGGGGCAGACACAGGTGGATCTCTGTGAAATCAAGGCCAGCCTGGTCTACATAGTGAATTCCAGGCCAGCTAGTGCTACATGGAGACCCTGTCTCTAAATAAATAAACAGTAAGTGAATAAAGTGGAGAGCAGTAAAGGAAGACACTTGATGTGTCTCTAGCCTTCACATGCACACTCATGTGCATGCACACATACACACACAAATAAATGAAAAAAAAAGAATGGACAGACAGTATCTAGAACTGGACTTTGAAATGACAAGAGTCAACCTCTAAGGAGTAGAGTACTCACGGTCCACCCCAGTTGAGCAGTCAGCTACTCAGGAACAGATCAGAAGGTGAGGAAAGAGCCCAGCAGACTACTCACCTCTGCTCAAGAGTGAAAGGAACAAAGATATGGTTAACATGCTGGTGACAGGAATGGAGAGGAAAAACAAATACAAGGGAAGAAACAGAAGCTGGAGCAGGCCCGAAAGCAAGACTGAAGAGAGAAAAGTTACAGGGCTAAACAATGTGTTGTACTGTGCTAAAAATACTCTGAGTTCAGTATCTCTTGCTAGACAGAGGCAACAAAGTTAAGACTTGAGCTTGCTTTAAAAAGATTCTCAAGGGCTGGTGAGCTGGCTCAGTGAGTGAGGCACCTGCTGCCAAGCCTGACAATCTGGGTTCCATCCCCAGGACCCACATAGTAGTAGAAGAAAATCAACTTGTACAATTGTCCTCTGACTTCCACACATGAGCCATGGCATGTGTATGCTATGGCTTTCACCCACACACACACACACACCCACACACACACACACACACACACACACACACAAATCTAATAGTCTCAAAATCTTGATGACATTTTACACACACAGAATATGACAGCATAAAAATGATATAAGCTTGTACGAGCATAATTGTCGAAAACAGTAAAGTTAGGGGCTAATTTAGGGGCAAAATGAGGTGTGTGGCTTTAGCTACATGGACTAGAAAGTGTAGGTGAGGTATTCAAATGAGTACTCAGTAAGAACAACTTACATGCTTAACTGGGTGCCTCTATCTGGATCCACAAGCCCAGCCAACACAGCTATGACCACTTTGGAATTACCCCTTTTGGTAACATAGTCTAACTAATAGTATCTTGGGTTTTATTTCTCCCATGATGCCTCCTGCATCTACATTTTCTACTCAGTGTGAATAGGTAGTGTGAAAGCCTCTCTATTCACACTTAAACTTTTGCTTTCTGGCTCAGCCCCATCCTGCCTCCACTCACAGAAACAACTTCATCCATGGCAAACTGCTGAGGTTACAGGACATATGGCTAACTGTGCAAATGTCCCAAGGGCCACCTACCTGTTCAGACTCTGGATTTTGATTTCTGGGTCTAAATCCTAAATCTTGGCCTTGCTATTTATCAGATGTCTGCATTATTTTTTTGTTTTATTTTTGAGACAGGGTCTCAAAACATTGGCCTCAAACTTTCTACATAACCAAGGAGGACCTTGAACTTCTGATCCTACTGCCTCCACTTCCCAAGTGCTTGGATAAAAGGCATGCATCACCATGCCTAGTTTATGGGGTGCTAGAAAAAACCCTGAACCCAGAGGCTCTGTAAATGCTACACAAGCATTCTACAAACTGAGCTACATCCTTAGCCTAGACAGCCATACTTTTAAAACCATGACAGAAGGTCCTTAGTTGAATTGTTCAAAGATAAAATGACATAAACTACAAATGTAACACATACTAAATGCTACCCCAAAATTCTTGCAATTTTTTTAGGGGCTTCCCTTTGCCATCTTATCTCATATGGACTTTGGGTATTTTATAACATTCGGCATCTTTTGTGAATTTTCTGAAAACTCTCAGACCAGTGTGAGCTGCTTTTATTGTAAAAGAGATCACTTGAGTCATTTCTGTGTCTGGCACAAGCAATTCAAACAAATATCCAAATCAGATGAAACTTGAATGCTAATTAGGTAGAAAAGAAGACAAAAAGAAATGAATGAGTTGGCCTTTTATACATCCAAGGAAAAGAGAGAGGAGGCCCTACAGTGCCTAACAAACTGGGGAACAGATTTGATGCCAATACCTCTGCTGCTCAGGCAGGCAGCTTAATATATCGCCTCTAATCTGAATAAAAGTTCCCTCCTCCCAAGCTATTTCTGAAAAAACCCAACAGTGAAATAGCCAAAGAACAGGGGTACAGCTTTTAAAAGGAAAATAAAATTACCTTAAGCGATAAGGATATAAATAATAGAATATATTAAAAATCAAAAGGGGCTGATTCCTAAGATGCCTATACTCAAGGCAGAAGTAAATAAAGAGAATAATAGTCATTGTTGGGGAACTTTTCTGTATACAAAGTCCTTAGATTACTTACATAGTCACAGACATCACTACAGCTCCCTTCGAGAAGAGCCTATTATTGCCCCCTCTTGGCAGATGAGGATATTGCAGATTAGTTATTAACTTGGTCAAGAATCAAGAGTGGTAACATGTAGGTTGAAAGCCTAGCCACTGTGACTCCAGCGGACAACTCACAAGGAAATTAGAGAACATAAGTGACTGATCAGAGAAGCAGGAGACCACCCTGTCAAGGTAGCAGCAGGGACAAAAGCATCAAGAGGACAGTAGGGCATTATGCCGGGTGCCAGGCCTTACAAGGAAAGACTCAAGTGTGCCTCCATTAAGCACTCTTTTAAATCTCCACCCAGCTCCTAGTCCCCCACATCCGTTATACTATGGAAATCAACACCCGAGGCCGGACTCAACTCATCTCAGATGGAGGAATATTTGATCAGGTAAGGAAGGTATGGAGCCACCTAATCTTCCAGTTCCCAATGACCTGAAACCTTCGGGGTCCCAACCTCCATAAATATCTCAAGCCTTAACCCATGAGTCCTGTCCCTTTATATAAGACTTTAAATCTGCAAACTACATCTCTGAGTATTGTATGACTAAGGCCTTGGTTCTTAGTCCCACTTCCATCCATCAAGACCTGTCAACTCTCTTGTCCCAGGCAGTGAGCACAGGTGGAGGAGGCCATGTTCAACTGCTCAGCAGGGCAATGGCTCAACTGACCTACTGTTCCCTCTGTCCTCCTGATGACCTGGCTGATCGTGGCCTGCTACAACTCCCAAGTGCTTTGTATGCCCAGGATGCTTTAAGGCTCTGGGAAGTCACTGCCCGGTGAGTGAGAGGGAACTGAGAAACAAAAGGGAATGGGTGTGATCTGGCTTGAGACAAGAATATCTCCCCAGAAGGAACAGTAAGGAAAGTCCAGAGGGCTAAACATGAGAGACTAGAATGTGTCAGGACACATGGATGAGGAGGGCTGTCCCCAAGGAGACTAGAGACCTGGAAGAATCAGGGTTTGTTAGAAATGACTAGCAACCACATCTAGGGAATTACTAGAACTGCTAGTCTGTATCTCTTCACACTAATACACCAAAAACCTGGGGAGTGCTGGGAGCGTAGCTCACTGACAGAATGCTTGCTTAACATATGCAAGGCCTTGGTTTGGCCCCCTATAGAGCAAAATATGAATTAGAAAAATGAAAATAAAAACTCATCTCAAAAGGCAAGTCTTGGCAGGATCTGACCCAGGCACAGTGAGAATCAGTTGACTAAGGGTCACAGGAAAGAAGAGCAAAGGGGAGATGCTGAGGCTTCTGCTCTCAGAAAGCTCAGCTTCCTTCTCTGGGCAGGTATGTGGAGGGGATCATCCACCTCTTCTACCAGAGAGATGACACTGTAAGGAGGGACCCAGAGCTGCAGGCCTGGTGTCACGAGATCACTGAGGTGGGGCTGTGCCAGGCCCAGGACAGAGGTAAGGTATGTCCCAGAGACAGGAGCTCCTGGGAAACCCTGAGAGTATCCCTTCCCAGACCTGCCCCCCTGGGGACAGAACTCCAGTCTGTCCCTTCCATTCATGAAAGCATCTAACACATATCCAAACAGTCAGAACTATTCTATATACCCAGAATATCCTCCTCAGGGGCCTTGACCATCAACTCCTACTCAGGTCCTCAGCCATGCCCATTACCCATTGGTTGAGCATGGGGACCAACCAGACTGGAACCACAAGCACTTGTGGGGTATCTGTCTTCATGGTTCCCCATTTTCCTACCTGAAGATATATGAGAACATTTTTCCACCAAAGACCATGATGGACGACCATGGCTAGCCCTCCCTTTTCCTCCTGCCTGCTATTGTCTACTACACACAGAGGGTCCAGGCATGCTGCACACTTGCCAGATTGCAAGGCCATTTCTAGATGATCTTATAATACACATGCTTTGGCTCAGATGTGAATTCAGTACCCTGATCCTTGGAACCCAGGTTTCTTTGGCTTGCTCATCTGGAACTCACTCCCCTCCACCAGTTAGGATGCAGCTACTACCTTTAATTAACTTCCAACCTTTGCTCTTTTTTAACTCTAGGGAAGAAATAGCCTTTCCTGAGCTACTCCTAAACACAGGGTCTCCTCTCTCCAGAGTCCATTCTGGACTGCTGTGCAGTACCTGTCAGTCCCTGTTCCTCCATACTTCAGACCAACACCTTGAATACCATCCACGTCCTCTGTGGGACAAGTACAAATCTTTATGGAGTAGGGGACCACTGTGATTAGCAAACATCTGTTCTCTGGAGAAAGCCTCTCCCCGAGGAATCAGGGGTTTACCCCCACCCTTCCAGGACCAAATTTTCTCTAGTGCTTCTCAGTCCTGACTCTTTGGATTCATGTGTCCAAAAAGTCTTTTCTTCCTCTCCCTAACCATCTTCCTCCCCAAATAGTACCTACATCTAAAGATTTACAACAAATATTCAGTGTCCTGGTCAGTTTGGACTGTAATAACAAAGTACCAAAGACTGGGTGGCTTAAACAACAAGTTTATTTCTCACTGTTCTGGAAGCTGAAGTTCTGAGATCAGTGTGACAGCGTATTCAGGTTCTAGTGAGGGCATGCTTGTACCTGGCAGAGAGCACACTGGCTCTTCAGCCTCTGCTCAGAAGGGCATTAACATCACTTACAAAAGCTCCACCTTCATGACCTTATTACCTCCTGAAGATTCCACATGTCCACATACCATCATATTGGTGATTTCAAGTCTGAATTTTGGGGTGGAAACATGAGCATTCATTCTGTAAGATGGATATTAACTTTAACTTCCACTAATCTAGTCTCAGCCTCTCCTCTGTCTTTTTTTTTTTTTTTTTTTTTTTTTTAGACAGGGTCTCCCTGTAGCCCCAGCTGGCCTGGAACTCACTATGTAGACCAGTCTGGCCTTGAACTCACAGAGATCCGCCTGCTTCTGCTTCTTGAGTACTGAGATTAAAGGCGTACACTACCTACCACATCCCGCCCGCTCCTCCCTCTTATCCTCTCAATTTTCAGAGCTCACTTTTGCCCAATTTTCCTGACAGACTTTTTAAGGGGAAGAATGCTAAAATTAAAAAGGGTAATGGATTAGTGGTCAGGAACCCAAGTTCAAGGTCACCTTGTTTTCCCCCCTTAAGGTAATCCTGACAAACAATTTAATCTCTCTTATCTTTTCTTATCTACAAAACAGGGTAATTATATATGTACCAATTCAAGTGAAAGCTCCTTCATCCACTGTAAAATGATTGAGGCCATTTTTGTGGCAAGCCCTTCTTACCAATGGTATTCAAAATCCAGAACTTGGTTGTTTTTGTTGTTACTGCTGTGGTTTTAAGACAAGGTCATTTTGCCTACTTACTAGGAGACTGGCCTTGAATTGATCCTCCTGCCTCAGCTTCCCAAGTGCTGAGATTACAGGCTTGTGCCGCCATGCCCAACTCAGGACTTTTCTTATTCTTCATCTTGTAACTCAGAGACTTTGATTCCCTGTCTGGAAACAGGAGGAAGCATCATTAAATTCTTTTTAATATTTTATTTATTATTATTTTATGTGTATGCATGTATTGCCTGCATGTAGGTAAGTGCACCCATGTCGTGCAATGCCTGCGGAGGACAGAAGGGGCTGTCAGATCCCCTGGAACTGGAGTTACAGACAGTTGTTAGCTGCCATGTGGATGCTGGGATTCAAACCAGGGTCTTCTGAAAGAACAGTCAGTGTTCTTAACCGCTGAGCCATCGCTCCAGCCCCACATCATTAATTCTTAATCTGAGACTAGGGATAACTCATTACTGAGACTAAGCCCCTAATCCTTCCACAATATTATTTATTGAGCACTGTTTAATAGCAGATGATTTTGGTACTTTTTAAAAAATAATTTGCATTTTATGGAATGGAGAGATGGCTCAGTGGCTAAGAGCACTGGCTACTCTTGCAGAGGAACCCCGGTTCAGTTCTCAGCACCAACACATTAGCTCAAACCTGTCTGTTAACTCCAGTTCCAAGGGATCCAATGTCCTCTTCTAGCCTTGTGGTATACTTACATACATGTAGGCAAAATACTTATACATATAAAAATAAATTAAATAATTTGTGTTTAAATGTTTATTTTTATTATGTGTATGAGTGTTTTGCCTGCATGTATGGAAGTGTACCTCCTGCATGCAGAGTCCATAGAGGCTAGAGAAGGCATCAGATCCCCTGGAGTTAGAGACAGTTGTTAGCTACCATGTGGGTGCTGAGAACTGAACCTGGGTCCTCTGCAAAAGCAGCAAGTGCTCTTAACCAGCCATTCCTCCAGTCCCTTGATACTTTTTTTTTTTTAAGGTAGGATCGCACTGTATCATGCAGAAAATGGTGCCAGCAGGCCTAGAACTCACAATCTTCCTGCCTCTGACCTAGGATCACAGGCATGCACCCCCACATCCATTTTAAAGATGAAAAAATGAAATGCAGAGAGGCTAATTAACCCAAAATTACCAAGATACACAGGATTAAGCTAAGACTGAAACCCATGTGCAATACATCTAAAAAAAATGAACAAGCACACATCCATTCTAAAATATGGACCTATTAAAGCATCAGCCTTTCTCTTTCCTCTTCTGCTGTAGCCTTTAAATCCTGTTGCTTTCCTGGCCAGGTTTCCCTGTCTCCTTCCAGTCCCGGGCTCAACTCTGCCATTTCCTTACCATGTGTGTCTTCACATGCACTGCCCAGCATGCTGCCATCAACCAGGGCCAGGTATGGACAGCTGAAAGCCTAGGTTCCTAAAAGCAAGTATCTAGACTTTGGAAAATCCAAGGGAGAAGTGGGAATTAAAATCCTAAGTGCCATGGTTCTAGGATTGTAGTTTCTTTCCCCAGCTGGACTGGTATGGCTGGGTACCTAATGCCCCATGCACAATGCGGATGCCCCCACCCATTAATAAGGAAGATGTGACAATGGCCACGGTGATGGGCTCACTACCTGATATTCAGAAATCCAGTCTTCAAATGACCATCACATGGCATCTGGGTCGCCGTCAGCCAGACATGGTGAGAGGGGATTCAAGGAGAGGGGAATGACAGTTGGAAAGGAAATAGCAGTGTGAAGGGCTGTGCCAAGGAACTGCCGTCTTCAGTTTGGAAACTCAATGATCCTTTGTTCTGTCTCAGATACCTCTAGGACATCACAAAGAAAAATATTTCTCAGATCCCAAGGCCAAAGCTGTACTAAGCCAATTTCAGACAGATTTGGAAAATTTGGAAAATGAGATTACAGCCCGGAATGAGCAACTTGACCTTCCATATGAATACCTCAAGCCGAGTCGTGTAGAGAACAGTATCACTATCTGAGCCTGAAGATGCACCACCTAGAAGAGTTCACATCAGCTCCAGGACTGACATTTCCATCTTGATTTCATGTCTTCCTAAATCTCTGCTACTAGACTGTAATTCTTCCCCCAACTAAACACTCCATACCAGTATTCTACTACAGGGCACTAATTTTCTTTTTTTCTCTAAAGAGTTAGGTAATATTTTAATCTTTGGAGGCCACACAGTTTCTGCCACAATTACTTAGCTCTCTCACTGCACTATCAAGGCAGTCACAGATATTATGAATGTGATGATGTTCCAAAAAAACTTTATCTGTGAACACTGAGGCATAAACTTCACATGTCACAAAATATTCTTTTGGCTTATTCAAGAATCTAAAAATGAAAAATAAAAGTACTTTGGTTGAGGGACATGCATGGGTCACAGGCTAGATTTGGCCCTTATATAATTCACAAGCCTCAGGCCTAAACCCCACTTCTGAAAGAGCCATGACTAAGGAAAGAAAATGGTATTTCTGCATGAAATCAACAACTTCCGCTAACTCTCCTTTTCCCAGGAACCAGACCTCAAGCATGATGGCCAGTTTGTATATTCCTGCCTCTTCCTTTACAATTTTCCTTCCACCCCATTCCTCCTATTCAAAAGTGTGCCCCAAATATTCCTGAATAAGGATGGGGTTCCTAGCCTCAAATAAAAACCTTTTCCCCAAAAGAGCTTTGTTCTCCCAAAGTCCCAAACTAAAGTTAGAGGAAATTCTTGCTTAAAGTCAATTTCTAGTCAGGTGTGACAACACCTTTAATCCCAGCCAGCACTCACTCAGAAGGCAGAGGCAGGCAGATCTCTTGCGTTTGAGACCAGCCTGGTCTACATGGTAAGTTCCAGGCTAGTCATGGCTATACATAGTAAGACATTGGCTTAAAAAAAAAAAAGAAAAAACCTTTTCAGCCTGTTTAATACCCAGTGATCACTAAGAGTTTCCCGAGTTCCAAGTTCTCTTTCACAACCCTTCTGAAAACAATATGAACAAAATATACGGAACAATGCCACACAATTATTCTAGTCCATGACAGTGTTTGTTTGGTTCCAGGGTCTTGTGACAATGGCCTTGTCTTTATTAGGATGGATAAAAGAAGATCAGTGTAGGGCTGGAGAGATGATTCATCAGTTAAGAGCACTGACTGCTTTTCCAGAGGACCTAGGTTTGGTTCCCAGCACCCACTCAGTGGCTAACAACATCCTTAACTCTAGTTACAGGGGATCCAACACCCTCTTCTGGCCTCCACAGGCAATGTGTCATGCGTGTGGTAAACCTACACACACGCAGGCCACAAAAAAAAACCCTCATACACATAAAATTAATTTAAAAAGCTTAGTGCAAACCTGAGTTCTTCATCTATGCCCTGGGTTCGAATACAGAAGTGACCCGAGAGGCGACAGCCGTGCACGCGCTCTGGGTAAACCCATCTCACCGTCCTGTCACTGAAGATAGCCCGAAACTAAGGTATCGGAAAGAAAAGCTTAAATAATTCCACGCTTCTCATCCCAACAGTCCAGAACCCACCACTAACCAGCAGCTCAGTCAGGGCTGATCTTTTTCCGGAGACCAGGTGGTGGGTCATTCCTGGTCATGTGACGTGTCAAAGTGGGTCACGTGACACGGCTGCGCCTTCCATTCCACATGGGGGAGGGAAGGAGTACAGACGCTCGGGCCCACGCTTCCACGGCGCTAACGAGGCGCTACCTGCATCCAGAAGAACTAATGTGGAGCTGCCGCTGCTCTTGCAGACGGCGCGTTTTCCCGCCGAGGTCTGGACCCCGCGGGGTGCTCAGCGCTCTTCCGGCTGCCCCCGCGGGGTGGTTCCGCCCGAGGCCACGCCCCCTCCGTCCTGCTCGTCCCCCCCAAATCCAGCTCTGGTCTCCGGCGTCTCCAGGCTGCATCTCTGCGCTCTGCTCGCACCCCGCGCTCCCCGACTCCACTCCCATGGCGTCGCTCTTGTGCTGTGGACCCAAGCTGGCTGCCTGCGGCATCGTCCTCAGCGCCTGGGGAGTGATCATGTTGGTGAGGGCACTGCCTGACCCGAATCCCAGCGGGCCTCGGGGATTGGCGGGCTGGAAGGCCAGAAACCCCAGGCCTCAGAGGGAAGCACACAGGTTCGGAGACTGGTTGGCTAGCTAGCGGCGGGAGGACGAGACGGAGCTCAGGTTGGAAATGGGGAACTAGAGCGAAAGGGTGCTAGTGACAGGAGACCCTGGGAACGGGGGCCGGGTCTGGTAAACTTGGGGATCCCTCAGGGTAAGAGAAGACTAGCTAGTGCCTTGAGAGATACTTCGATGAGTGGAGGCGACGGCGTGGGAACGTGCGCTGGCCCCAGAAATAGGTAGCCGGGGCCCTGCTTCTCCAGGACTCCACCGGCCGTCAGTTGCAGAAATAGGAAGAAGCGCTGGTTTCCCCCATCCCTTCCGCCTTGTCCCTGGAGAATGACGAGTCTTAGAGCGCTGCTTACTTTACTCCCGCTTGCCCTGCACTCGTACTCGGTGACCTACCTTACGCCCTATCCTAAGTGGCTGCGTCCCAAACCAGCTACAGCCACCCCTGCTCCCACCTCATTCTGGTTAATCCCCGGCACAGGTGTTGGGCCAACCTTAGAAATGGGCGGAGTTTAGGGAGCGACCCAGAGGTCTGATGCTGGAATCTGTTAACCTCCCCACTCCCCTTTTTCAGATAATGCTCGGAATATTTTTCAATGTCCATTCCGCGGTGTTAATTGAGGACGTTCCCTTCACGGAGAAAGATTTTGAGTAAGTGGTTGGGTGCAGGTGGGAAGTAGCAGGGTCACTGCTAGAGGCCGGGTGTTTGGGACCCTAGGTTAGGGGACTAGGAGAGCTGCTCTTTACAAAGCAGTTAGAGGTGGGGTGTCGATCAGGGACAAACGCGTGTTTAACATGCAAGGCTCTAGTTTCACTACCCAGCACTAAAAAAAAAAAAAAAAAAAAAAAGAAGGAAAAAATTAATGCACTTAGCAGCCTTGGAAATCAGGCTTCCGCGGCCATCGCGAGCCGGCTACTTTAAATGTGGCCTCTTCAGATATTTTGCCTTTCTGTGCCTTGGTCTACTTCTGCAAAATGGATACTGTCATAGAACTTATCCCATCCGGTTGCGGGGCGGGGAGACTAACGCAGTAAAAGCTTAGAATGGTGTCTGGTGCACAGACGCCCTGTTGGATGCTCGGCATGTTTGACATTTCCTGCTTCGTTGCCACGCTCCATTCCAGGAATGGCCCCCAGAACATATACAACCTTTACGAGCAAGTCAGCTACAACTGCTTCATCGCCGCGGGCCTTTACCTCCTCCTCGGAGGCTTCTCCTTCTGCCAAGTTCGGCTCAATAAGCGCAAGGAATACATGGTGCGCTAGCGCCCAGCTCCGACTGCCTTTCCCTTCTTCCCCCGCCTCTATTTAAAGACTCCTCCGTCGGTCACACCCTTCTGGCGGCCTCAGCGTTGCCGGGTGACCCTGCGGAGACCGGACCCCTGGTCCTCTGCTTTCCAGCCCCGATGGAGGGGACTCCCGTGACCGCGCACCGCCTCCCCTGCGCCCTCGCCTAACGCTACCTACAATAAAGAGAAGCTTTCTCTTAGTCTCGCGTCTGTGCTTTAAGCGAGGGGGCGGGCCACAGCGAAAAAGTGAGGTCGGCCTTCCCCTCACAGTCTCGACCCCTCGACGGAAGTGGAGTGAAACCATCCGGAAGTGAGGCGGTGTCTTCCACCTCGTCTCCCGCCCGGCGTCGAGGAGGCCTAAGTGACTGGGGGAAGAGGCCGCGTTTGAGCCAATGGGCTGTGGGGAGGGCGGGACTTCCTGCGCGGGAGCTGAGCGGCCGGAGGCCGGGCTCGCTGTGGTCCCAGCTCGCGTGGTGGCGGCAGCGGAGCGTCCCCGTGAGGAGGCGCGCGGGGCCATGACGTCAGCGTCCACCAAGGTTCGACCTCCCTCGCGGACTGCGCTCCCTGGCGGCCACGGGAGGGTGGGCCCCCTGCCTGGTTCTGGGCTCGTGCGGGGGGGCGGGCGGGTCCGAGGCTGGGGTGGGGCTAGGGGCTCCAGGCGGGAAGGCGCGCTGCCGGCCCCCAGTAATGCTGCTCCGCCTCCAGGTTGGAGAGATCTTCTCCGCGGCCGGTGCCGCGTTCACGAAGCTCGGGGAGCTGACGATGCAGTTGCATCCCGTGTCGGACTCTTCCCCCGCTGGGTACGTGAGCCCAGCAAGGACTGGACGCCGAGAGCGGGCGCTGGGACTCAAGTCACAGGCACAACTCTCATAGGGCAGGGATGTATGTTAATTCCTCTGTGTCAGGCACAGCGCAAATGAAATGTTAATAAATCATGGTTGAATTAGTGAGTGAAGGACAGGTGATACGAGAGGTCCACGATCTAGACTCAGTTGTCTCCTGGTACAAACCGACATAACACAGACCCTCTCTTTACCACCCCCCTTTTCCCCCAAGCCGTGTGGACTTCCCTAGTCTGCTGCAGATCACCCAGGGGGTCTCCCTACCTGTTGAGTTGGTTTCAGTAGGTTGTTCATAGCAACTGTTACATGTTGATGAAGAGAGATGTTTTAAAGTGGCTATGAATGCAATTTCATGTGGTTAGGGGTTCATCCCCAGGACTTTTCTCAAGGGGGGGGTCCCAGAGATTGGGGGGCAAAGGCTGCTTGGCTGTGGAATGCATAGCCTGTGGGCTGGCTCCACCCTCTCCTCCCATTTTTGCTATTCCTCTTCTCCCCTTCCCTTCTGACAGTGCGAAGTGGACGGAGACGGAGATAGAGATGCTGAGGGCCGCTGTGAAGCGATTTGGGGACGATCTTAATCACATCAGCTGTGTCATCAAGGAACGGACAGTGTGAGGGAGGGTGGCTGGCAGAGAAAGGGGGGTGGGCAGCTTTCTTCCTCCTTACCCATCGTTTCATTTTCCTGGGAACTCCTAGCTGAGCATCTTTCCTACTGTGTTGCTAGTTTTGTTAGGATTCCCTTGAGGACTGAAAGAATATAAGAATTGTGGCAGTTGGTCAGAAAGTCAAAAAATGCAAGTCAGAGAATTTGATTTTCAGGGTGCTGAAGATACTCAGTGATTGTATTTGATAATAGGAGTTACCTTGTTATTTATATAGATCTTTTGAGGCTAGTGTTTCCATGATATGATTCTGAACTAGTTGGTCAGGATCGATGAATAAGTCTCAATCTACTCTATCAGTCTCCAAGCCATACACATCTATACATCTCCCCCAAAGGAGGATCATGGGATGGGCCTTTCTGGCTACTCAGTTCAAGGATTCCACTCTGTATCTCATCAGTCCTAAGTGATAGGGGATAGGGAGACCCCTTATCCATTGATTGAGGCCTTGGCCTGAATGCTTACAAAGGAACTCCCAGAATTCCTTCAGAGTGGCCCATTAACCCCTCCCCTCCCCTTAGCGCTCAGCCTCTCTGATGACACCCTGATTTGCTCTCTCTTCTCTTCAGGGCTCAGATAAAGACCACAGTGAAACGAAAGGTATATGAAGACTCCGGCATCCCCCTTCCAGCTGAGTCACCCAAGAAAGGGCCCAAGAAGGTGACATCTGGTGTCCTGTCACCTCCAACCGCCCCTCCACCTGGCAGCTCCAGTGTTCCTGAAGCTGGGGGTCCTCCCCTAAAAAAACAGAAAGCTGGTAAGGGCTGTGGAGATGCTGCTTAGGGTAGGGTTAAAGGTCCCATCTGAGGCTTGGTGAGAGAATTGGGCCTAGCCTAGATGAAAGAAAGATGGATCTCTCCTCCATTCTCTGTGGTGGTTCCCAAATGGGTAGGGGGGTGTAGAGCATGAAGCTTGGAAAGATGGGAGGAGGGAACACAGGGAAACCTAAAACCTAGCCTGTGCCCCCTCCCAGATGTGACACTCAGTGCTCTGAACGACTCCGACACCAACAGTGACCTGGTGGATATTGAAGGGCTAGGAGAAACTCCTCCAGCCAAGAAACTCAACTTTGACCAGGGTAGGAGTCCTCCTCCTCCCACACTGGCTGGGGTGGGGAAGTGCTCACCTGGATGGCAGGGGAGGGTCCAGCAGAAGCCCCTTCCTCAGGTATGGGCTTCAGAAGTACAGAAGACTGGGTCAGTCAGTAGCATGGTATTTGAGCAGGGGGTGGATCTTGGAAACATACTTGGTGCTCGCTCGCTCCATCTCGGTCCATTTTACTTCCTGTTCCAGACAGCCTGACCCTGGATTCTGGCCTTCTCTCGACCTCCGCTGATGCTCCTCTACTCTCCTGCTGAACCTTCCACCCTGTTCAACCTGAACCTGTGGATCACCTGAGACTCTGAGCAAGGACTGCATGAGAGAGGGTCAGAAGGCTGCTGGAGTGGTCCACCGGGCTGTTCCTCATGACCACGTGCCCTCACCCTCTGGCTTCTATCTGATGGACATTTTTATACAGAAAATAATAAAGATTTCTCTCAGCATGGTGCTGTCAGCTGCTGTTCCCTCTCCTCTCCTTAGCCCTCTGGGCCCAGCCCTTTCTCAGTAGCTTTCACTACCCTGTCTGGAGCAGCACAGCCAGTATTGGCAGACTTGCTACCCAGTGCCAATATTTCTGTGCTGCTAGAGCCAGGAGAGTTGGGTGTGGGCAACAAAGACTCCACTTTGCTCTGTAGAGCCAGAACTTACTCCCAGGGTTTCTGGCAGCTAGTCACACTTACACTACCTGGGGGTTTTAGAGGGGCTGTTTTCCAGTGCTTCCTACTTCTGCCCCATTTTTCAAGAACTTCATCCCAGTGTCCCAGATGTTTTTTGTGTTGCTTCTCCAGGGTGGTCTCCCAGGACCAGGCCTCAGCGGTGCCTCCCCCACCCTCGCTCTAACACCACAGTGTGGTTTGGACGTGGCCACAGTGCCGTACAAACCACAGTGTGCTGCTGGGGCGGGGGCAGGATTAGGGTAGAATGAGAGGAAGACAGCACATACACACACCAAGAGTAGGGAGATGAGAAGGTATGACTGGCAAGCATGGTCCAAAAAGGTTGGAAAGAACCAGGAACCAAGAACAGTGGTTTAGCAGGCAACTGGAAGATGAGCTTAGAACCTTCTTTCCCTCTGTAGGAACTCTACTTTGGGGATCTCTAGGATGGGGCAGAGGAAATAGGGAATAACTGAGGAAGACCAACAGATTGCCTCCGGCTCAGTAAGGGCAGGGACCCAAGGCTTCCTGTGTCCATTCCTCCCTCCCTAGGTCAGAACCCAAGAGAAATGCTAGGAGAGACAGGGCCAAGGACAGCAGGGTTGGGAGTTGGCAGTCCAGAGGTGGTGGGGCCGGAACATGGTTGAGAGAGGGGGGCCGGAAGTCGCCCTGGGCCCTGAGCCTGCCACAAGATGGAGGCCAAAGACAGGAAATGGAGGCCAGGGGGAAAGGGGTTCAGGAGAACCCAGAAGAGGACCATCTGGACCTGAGGGCCAAGAATTCAACCCTAAGTGCTGCTTTGACTTCTCAGGGCCCCCCAAAACCCCCGGCCCACCCTCACAGCAACACTCATCAGCCCATTCACCAGGCCCAGGCAGGCAGGCCCACCCCTGAGAGCCACGTTTAAGCAGAGACAAACATGCCTCTCCCCACCCCCTACCCTAGGCCTTCCCTTAGCCTTTTTCTCCTGTCCAAGACTTGATTTCTGAAAAGAACATTCCAGAACACCAAATCTCTTTTGGAAATCAAAATAGTACCCTGTAAAACCCAAATATTAACCTTCCATATCCCATCCCACCTTTTACCACCACCACTACCCTTGTGACACACCCCCCCAAAAACTCTTAGCAATCAAAAGATCTAAGGTGGTGTATGCAAGCAGTCTATTTAGGCCCCCGAGGATGCCAGACCCTCTCCAAGACTACTTTCTGGACTATATAAAACCCTGTTAAGGCTCTCTGTTCCTCACTGCACCCTCTAGAACCCCCAAAACAACTGTGGCCCCTAGTTCTTATCCCAACAAAGCTTTTGTGGAGGTAAAAGACATCAAACACTAGCCTAACGGCTGTGCATATTGGGGAGCTCTCTAGTCTCGAGCTTTGGTTTCCACCTGAGGGGATACACCTTAGGGGTATAAGAGAAAGCCTCTTCGGTGGTCCCCCAATTCCAAGACTTGACAAAGCCCAACCCCACCCCAGCACGCACCTCCAAACCTCCCCCCCAACCGCCACGTCTCTCCTGAAAACAGGGGACACTTTCCTCCCCACTTACCTCAGCTACTCTCCCCTGAGATCCTGGTTCCCTATTTTGAAAGGAGCAAATTTTGGGGTGCATCCCTCACATTTGGGGTGCAGGAGAAAGGAGCCGCCCCAGTCGCATCGCTGGCCTCCTTCCTCTCGGCTGGCTCAAGGACTGGGTAGTGCCCTGGGGAAAGGGGACCCCCACAAAACAGCTCTGGAGGGGTTCCTCCACTCCCAGTCAGAACTGGGGATACCCCCCCAAAACCCGTCCCAGCCCATCCGTCTCCAACTCGGCGGGAGAGGCAGCTGCAATGCCCCAGTCAGATTCCCCCAACACTACATTCCTCACCCCATCTAGAGAGGTCCCGGGGCCCCCAAAAAATCCCCAAAAAATCTAGGATGTTGTGAAGACAATCCTGGACTAGCTCCCCAAATTTGGGGTCCTTAGATACCCCCGTTTTTTCAGGAAAATTCTGTCTTTCTCCTGCCTCCCGCCAGCCCTGCTCTGTCCCGATGCCAATTTTGGAAGTCACTCCCTCCTTCCTCCTCCCCGTTTCTCCAGCCCCCCCCCCCCCCCCCCGGTCCCCCCCCCCCCCCCCCCCCCGCTCGGGGGCTAGGGTCCAGGACACCTGGCTTCCAGACCAGGGGGGTACTCCTCAGAGGGCTAGGGGCCAGAAGGTCAAGCTCATTGCCCCTGTCTTAAGGAAGCAGGAGAGCCCGATCCTCCCCTCCCCTCCCCTCCCCCCTGGCTGGTCTCGGTGGTGGTTTAGGAAAGCCTGGAGGATTGGAATCTGCCATTGCTATTGCACAGGCAGTTTTTTTTTTGCCTTGGGTTGGGGGGGTGGGCGGTGGGAGGGAGAGAGGGGAGGAGAGCCGAAGAGAGCAAGGACCCAGGCGGGAATATCTGGCCTGGTTTACCCTCTAGCCCCTGCTGCCGTTTGGGAACCCCTCCCCCGCCTCAGTTCACCCACTCTTCCAGTTCTCTGCTTTCTGTTTGGGACTCTTATCCTTTAAAAAATCACCTTGTTGCATCCCACCACAGCCCCTCATTGCCACAGTTTAAGCAGCACTGTCCTGGCCAGAGGCCTTCACTTTACCAAGAGACACTCCATTTTCCTCCACCTTCTCCCAAACAGATGTTTTTTTCTTCCATAAGAAATTAGGGTTCAGAATCTAAAACCACATTTTCCCTTCCTCATATTTATCAAAGCTATATGCTAATAAGTCCATGATGAAACATCATGCTCTTCCCTTTAAATCCTGGGATTATTTGAGGGGTTCACTAAAAATAGAAATTTCTAGAATCTAGGGTGAAAGGGGGCTATAAGGAAAAGACGACCCAAATCAGAAATGTGCTCCAAAGTACATGCACCTCCAAATCCATTTAAGTTTATGATCCATCTCTCAGCTTCATCAAATATGGCTAGTGACAAAACACCCCCAAATAATGATACCCCAAAATTGTCCTCCTATCCTGCGGAGCCCTCCTCTTATTTCTCCCCCTGGAGGTTTCATACCTATACATGCACAGATAGTAATATTCTCCCCTCAAAATAAGTTTCCACAAGATTTACATATAACACTTGCCCCCCACCAAGTCTTCAAACTTCAAAGCCTTGTCTTGCTCTTAGCTTCCTGTTACGCTCAAACTCATGATATTTTTTAGGTTCCAAATTGAATTTTGTGTCCTCAAATAATCTAATCTGAGCCTTGAAACAGAGAGCACCCCAAAACAGACTGTATTCCCCAAATCAGTAGGTCTGTTTTGGCTCTCCTGGTAGACCAAAATGACAGAGATGGGACAGTCCCCAAATTGTAGGCACCAGAACGCACAGAAATAAGATAGCTTCAAAATTAGCCCCATACTCCAAACGTGCTATCAGTCCTCAAAAGTCAAATACAGGCCCCAGAGACCAAGAAAAACATCCTATAGTAAGTGGTACCCCACAGCTGACCAGATACCATTCCATCCTGACACCAAAGAAAGCCTGTATCTAGTTTTTACTTCCAAAGTGAGCAGAGACCACAGTAACCCTCATGTGGTGAAGCCACATCAGCATGCTGAATCCTTAGTTGTCCTTGATTCCCAGTTACTCTGCTGTTTTTGTATTTTGTTGTTGCAAACAAAAACCACCTCACTGGAACTGAAGTGGAAGGCCTCAGGCCTGGATGTGCAGCTCCATGGTCAATGCTCAGTAATTCTTGGCCAACTGTATTTACTCCTGAGCCCAAATCCAAAGTGCTCCTGCTTTGTAGCAGGCCCCTCTTCTCTAAACAAAATTTATCCTCCCACCTCAAGTCTCTCCAAACAAAACATAAAGGTGTGGTCCATGCCTATCTCCTGAGTCAGGTACTTAAAATTAAGTTATGGGGTCCCCTCCTGCCCTTTATCTCTCTTCTCTGCCCTCTCTCTCTTTTTACACCACCCAACCTTCCTGTGAATGTTCACTAAAAATTCACCTCTAGAGACATCTAGATAATGTCTATCTTAATTTAAAAAGAAAATCCCGTGTTCCCAGGCTCAAGACCCACTCTTTGTCCAACTAATCCTCTCACTCCCAAGGCCACTTTCATGGGAACCCCAGCCTGACTTTCCTTTGAAGGCCCCTAACTCTTCTATCCTCTACCCAGTGCCCCTCTGAAAAACAGAGGTGCAAAGCAAACCCCCGAGAGAGAACAGCCCAGATCTAATCCATCTGGCTCCTGGGTCTGAGCACACCCCCAGCCTGGTGGAGACCTGAGGGCGAAGCGAGACTAGTGCTCGTCTGCCCCCTCGTGGACAGAGTCAGACATTGCCGAGCTCTGCCTACTTGCCGCGCTGGACCCCGGCGCCCCGCCAGACTCAAAGCTCAGCCTACCGGCGCGTGCTCGAGGCCCTAGTGAGCTAGAACTGAAGGAGAGCGAGAGGGCTTCTGGACGGAGACTGTTCCCCTGGATCCCTAAAGTACTCAGCAGAGAGACGGGAGCTAAAGCAGGACGCCTGGGTTTCCCAAGCGGCTCTCGGTCCCCACCCGGGGCTTTCCCCACCTCCTCCTTGGGGAAGCAGCTGGAGGAGCCGTCCGGTCGCAGGACAATGGAAGGAAACGAACTAGAAATCATATCCGCCCGTACCCCACCCGGCCAGAGCCCCCCCTTTCTGTGGGCACTACTAGAGAAGCCTGTCATCCACCCCGCATCCCCCACCATCTGAGACCCCACCGGAGCCCACTGGCGCCTCCCCAAACCTGGTGCCTACTTAGGTTTCCCATTTTCTCCCATAGCCCAGTGCACTGGAAGGGAAAGTTTTGCTGTATTTCTCCTTCGACCGGCTCCTGGCACCCGCTTCCAAAACCCAACACACCAATTTTCGCTGTCACAGGTCCTCCGACGACACAGGGCCCCCATAGTTCCGATCTGAACATCACTAGCCTCCTCCCCAATTCTAACATCCTCATCCTCGGATGTTCTTTTAATGAACCAAAGTCCCCTACTGTACGACCACCCCGGGTTTCAGAGATCCCGCCTTGGAGACAGAGACCCCGCCCCGGGCTCACCATCTGGGGAGTGAGAGAGGAAGGAAGGATATGGACCTAGGCGTTCACCCCACCTCCACCCCCGCCCCCGACATCCCGGCGGGATAAAGGAGCAGAGGCCGAAAGAGGAGAGAGACCCCGCCTCCCTGGAGAAGAGAAGGCACAGCCCCTGCGGGACAGGGGTAAGAACGAGACCCTGAGGGAACCAGGCTTCCGGGTCCCCAAAGAGGGTTGGGGTTTGCTGATGGAAGTAAGACTTGAGTTTTAGAATTGCGCTAAACTGGAGATGGGGATTGGTGAATTTGGAAATAAGAGTAGCAGAATTCTGCGGTTCGGGGACGGGGGCTTCCACTGCGGTTTAGAAGGGTATGGACTGCAGCTCAGAAGTGGTCCCCAGGCAAGGCCTGGCACCTGCGACCTAGGCGCGCCGCATAGCAGAGGAGAGAGGTAGTGGCGGAGATACCTAGAGTCCAACCAAAGGCGCTGCGCGCGTGTTTCCGCACGCTCCCCATCCAGACGGAGGCAAGGGAATTTGCGACTCGCTCCAAGCGCGCTGGGATCTAGCAAAGGGAAGAAGGCGACCGTATGGTTGAGGGCAGAATGAACCAGATGAATTAAGTGGGGCAATTCGTGATGTACCCAGGGTCTGGAAGCGTTGGCTCTAGCAGCATCTCGGGAAGAAAATGCAAGCAGAGAAGGGAAGATGGCTTAGGACTGCCTGGACCCGCTAATTCTCTCGGTCGCCCGCCCAGGCTTGAGACGCAATGGGTTCCACAGCGGCCCCGGAGGGAGCGCTGGGCTATGTCCGAGAGTTCACACGCCACTCCTCCGACGTGCTTGGCAATCTGAATGAACTGCGCCTGCGCGGGATTCTCACTGACGTCACGCTGCTGGTTGGCGGGCAACCCCTAAGAGCGCACAAGGCAGTTCTTATCGCCTGCAGGTTTGAGGGGGTAGGGCTCGTGGGAACTAAATGGGTAAAGGCCACGGAGAGGTAATCCAAAGCCAAGCATAAGAGAAGCTAGACATAGTGGCCCACACCCATAATCGCAGCTCCGGGGAATCAGAGGCAGAGGATTGGGAGTTCGAGGCCGGCCCGGCCTGAATTGGGAGGCCTTGTCCCAAAGGGAAGGAAAACCGAGAGTTTGAGGGGGTAGGGCTCGTGGGAACTAAATGGGTAAAGGCCACGGAGAGGTAATCCAAAGCCAAGCATAAGAGAAGCTAGACATAGTGGCCCACACCCATAATCGCAGCTCCGGGGAATCAGAGGCAGAGGATTGGGAGTTCGAGGCCGGCCCGGCCTGAATTGGGAGGCCTTGTCCCAAAGGGAAGGAAAACCGAGAAAAGAAGCATGAGGGGAACATTCTAGAGTCGGGGGGGGGTCTCAGTAGGGAGTCAGGACTTTGGCCTCCTAGCTTCTAACATGACCCATCTGTCCTCTCTCCAGTGGCTTCTTCTATTCCATTTTCCGAGGCCGAGCCGGAGTTGGGGTGGATGTACTCTCTCTGCCTGGGGGGCCGGAAGCCAGGGGCTTCGCTCCTCTTCTGGACTTCATGTACACTTCCAGGCTTCGCCTCTCTCCAGCCACCGCACCAGCCGTCCTTGCCGCTGCCACCTATTTGCAGATGGAACACGTAGTCCAGGCATGCCACCGCTTCATCCAGGCCAGGTGAGCAAGGCCGGGCTCTGTGTTCCTGCGAGAAGCAGTGCCCCAGGTATTAAGGGCAAAGGCAACAGCGTTAATGACCATCACTCTTTCTCTAGCTATGAACCTCTAGGCATTTCCTTGCAGCCCCTGGAGACAGAACCCCAAACACCCCCAACAGCTCCTCCACCAGGCAGCCCCAGGCGCTCTGAAGGACACCCAGACCCACCCACTGAGTCTCGAAGCTGCCGTCAAGGCTCCCCAAGTCCAGTCAGCCCAGACCCAAAGGCCTGCAACTGGAAAAAGTACAAGTTCATTGTGCTAAACTCTCAGGCTCCCCAAGCAGGGAGCCTGGTGGGGCAGAGTTCTGGTCAACCTTGCCCCCCAGCCAGGCTCCCCAGTGGAGATGAAGCCTCCAGTAACAGCAGCAGCAGTGAAGATGGACCCATGCCTGGTCCCCAGAGCAGGTATACAATCTGTAACTCCAAGAGTTTTAGAGGCTGGCCTACACTAGAAGCCCCATTTGAGGGATGGGTTTCACCTTAGGGAGTTGGACAGAAGCCAGGCCAACTCTGTGACATGAGAATTTGATTGTGGGAATGTGGCTTTTTGGTCAACATTAGTTCACTTCAGAGGATAGGCCTTGAGGTTCATGTCTTCCAGGAATAGAACCCCAGCAAACACACATACACACATAATCCCTAACTAGGCCTTACCATCTGCCTAGGCACTCCCCAACCACCACCACTGCACAGTTTAAATGTGGAGCTCCAGCCAATACCCCCTATCTCCTCACACCCCGGGCCCAAGAAACTACTGGATCATCCTCTGAGCAGCCTCCTCGTCCACCACCAGGTAAGAGCTCTTCTCTTCTGGCTTTTCTCCTGTAGCTGCTCCAGGTCAGTCTGGGCCAAAGGCCTCAGAAAATACTTATTCAATGGTTTTTAAACTTTGCTGTAAATGAGACTGTCCTTTGAAGCTTACACCTCATAGATCAGAACTGAAAACAGGGAGCAAGCATCAGGTTTTTTTTGTTTGGTTTTTTGTTTGTTTGTTTGTTTTTTAAGATGTCCAGGTGCTTCCAAAGAGAAACAGAAACCTCCACCCACTTGCAGGAGCTTCCACTTACTGCCACCAATACTGAAAAAAAAAAAAGCACACTACTCTAGAATCAGACATATCTTACCGACTCAGATAGTGGGCAAGTCAAATGAGTCAAGAGCTTTTACACTAAATTAGAGGTTACCCTCCCCCAACACTACTGTGCTGTTGAGTACTAGTGCCTAGGAAATCCTCAGTAACTAAGGCTGTCACTGCACTTTACCCTCCCCAGGAAGTGAGTTTTTCAACTGCCAGAACTGTGAGGCTGAAGCTGGATGCTCATCGGGGCTGGACCCCTTGGCCCCAGGGGACGAGAACAGACCGTATAAATGCCAGTTATGCCGTTCTACCTTCCGCTACAAGGGCAACCTGGCCAGTCACCGCACAGTGCACACAGGTAGGAGAGGGTCCTGGGTTTGTACCCACAGCTGTCCTGTAGCAAACTGACTGTCGTCGTTCCTGCTTGCAGGGGAAAAGCCCTACCACTGCTCCATATGCGGAGCGCGTTTTAACCGGCCAGCCAACCTGAAAACGCACAGCCGCATCCACTCGGGAGAGAAACCGTATAAGTGTGAGACGTGCGGCTCGCGCTTTGTGCAGGTACTCAGTCTCCGAGAGGACTGGAAGGTCAGAAGGGGGAGGGCTAACAGGGGAGGGCTCAGTCCTTCCCAGAGGCGCGGTCTGAAGGCTCCTCCCCTCCTCAGGTGGCGCATCTGCGTGCGCATGTGCTGATCCACACCGGAGAGAAGCCCTATCCTTGTCCCACCTGCGGAACCCGCTTCCGGCACCTACAGACCCTCAAGAGCCATGTTCGCATCCACACAGGAGAGAAGCCTTACCATGTGGGTACCCACCCCCGCCTGTCCTTAAAATTACCTCCCACTGACCTAGGGGCCGGGCTCAGAGGAATCGGCCATGCCACCGATTTCTTGAAAATGGTTCAGTGAATAAGGGGCTTGGGCCAGGAAGTCGGGTGGATGTGGTCATGGCCTTGGACGAGGCGTTATTTTCCCCGAGGGGCTAACAGGTGGGGAAACTTTTGTTACATAAGGCAAGGCGTATCTCCTGAGGAACTGGGAGGATGTGAATGCCAAAGAATTGATTTTCAGCAGATTGCTGGGCAGTTCACCTTCCCTCTACGCCTAAAAAGAGGTTGTGGAAGGGGAGGGATCTGACCCGGGCTGTCCTTCTGCAGTGCGACCCCTGCGGCCTGCATTTCCGGCACAAGAGTCAACTGCGGCTGCATCTGCGCCAGAAACACGGAGCTGCCACCAACACCAAAGTGCACTACCACATCCTGGGGGTGCCATAGTTGAGCTCCCACCCAGACGCCACTGGCTCCCTGGGGCCTAGGAAAATTGCAGGCTTAGGCTTGGCTTCTGAGTCAGTCATAGGGGTGTGCAAGGCCACTCAGAAACTACTGTCACCTTAATTTCTTGCTGGGGAGAGCAGGGGTGGCAGATCCTGGCTAGATCTGCCTCTGTTTTGCTGGTCAAAACCTCTTCCTCACAATCCAGATTAGCTAGATGCTGGGAGAAAGGAGACTGAAGGAACTTGCTCTCCTTAAGGGAACTGCCCCCTCCCAGACTCATCTGGTTTATCTGTAAATATAATTTATTAAGGCCCTGACACCAGGGCCTTCATTCTGTTTGCATTTCCAACTTTCCCTCTCCACAAGTGTGGTCAAAAGTGACCTGAAACAGATGAGGTTGCTGCTCTGCTGGCAGAGATTACTAGCACTTGGCTCTCCTTTAGCTTGAGTGTTTTGTATTTTTGTCATAATTTTTACGTTTGGGATTGTCCTTTTTCCTGTTTGTTTGCTTGTTGGTTTGTCTCTCTGATTCTACGTCTGGGACCTTTATTTGTTCTCTGGCAAACCCTGAGAACATGTAGGGTTGGGTCAGGAATCCTCTGGTATTCTGGATGGAGCAGGTTCTCTAGCAGGCTAGAAATGGATAGAAATCTTTTTGATGAGTCCAAAATGTAGACAGTAAATTCCTCCTGAAGACTGGGAATGTGGGGACAGGATTCCCCATCATTCTTAGTGGAGGCTGGTAGACTTTCCTGCAAGTTGGCCCAGCACCTAACCTGTACCATTAAACTGATCACCTGGGTTTGACTGCACTACATCTATCAGATGCAGCCCACCCAAGGGTTTGAGTTGAGCCCATAACCCTTCCACTGGGTTGTGTTGTTAGCACTGAGTTCATATCTCCATCTAAGAGACTTGAAGATCCTTACCAGAGATCATGTGACCTTTTCCTACCTGCCCAGTCTCTAAGAATGTTATGTCCTCAGGAGAATTATAACACTCTACCTTTACTAAAGAGTCATACTTTATACTTCATAAGTACCTGGGTTTGAATGTTCCTTGGGGTTCTCTTTACCTGAGGTGAGCCCCTTCTTTCTTGAATGTGTTTTTGGACAGCTTCTGGCAAGTGTCCAGATTCCAGAAATTTCTTCTTTAATGGGTGCTTGGTAATTTTCTTACCTTAGAAAATCTGAGTCTGTGACTCAGTCTTCCATTCCTACATTCCTGTCTGGGAACAGTGAATGTACTAAGACTTTACACAAAAAGAAAAAGGGGGCTGAGTTCTATGCTGGGTTTGTGGTTGTGTGGGATTACTATTGGAATTGCATATTTAAGATATTTAAAAGACTCCTTGATGGTTGGCTAAAGGCCCTTTCTCTTTGACCAAGTTGCCAGGTAGTGTTAAGAGGTTGGTTGAGGGCTGCAGTTTCTGGTGTAGACCATATAGATAAAAGTGTTTGGAATGGAGCTCCCTCTTGGTTAGATGGAGTGTCTAGAATGTTGGATAATACTCTGAAGCCCTGATTTATATTCCTGATTCTTGTTGCCCTGGGAGCTACTTGATTATAGGAATTGATGTCCAGGGTGAAAATACTTTGCAATTCCTGGGATGGAGCTTCCTCATAAGACAGCCAGCCCTTGGGGCTATCATGTGGGGTCTGGTGAGAAAGCTATTTTTCTCCCTCTTTCTATTTTACTCCTATATCACCTGAGCACAGAATTGAAAAAAGAAGAAAAGCAGGGGACTGATGAAAGAAGGAACCATGATTTCTGTTCAACAGGCTGGATGGGCATGTGGAAAGTGCCGAGGGGTGAGATGTTAGATCCTGGAATAAAGAACTGCCTTTCTGTGCCAACTGCTGTGTCCTAGGTTCTTATTTGATGAGAGGGAAAAGAGCAAATCTGGGTCTTGGAAAAAGGTTCTCCTAAATAATAACTTGGATTCTGTACTCATTTCACTGTCCCATCCCACTAGACCTTTTCAATGGTCCTTGTTCTCCCTTCCCTGCCCTAGCCTTCCCTTCCGGCTCATTGTGTAGGAACCAGTGACTTCATGAAGTTTATCCAGAGCCACCTGCATCCTGCTGGTCTGAAGTCACTTCCTGCCTGAGGTATGGAGGCTTCAGGGAGAAAGTAGGAAAACACTAGTATTACCAGGAATCTGGGAAATGCATCTGTGCTAGGGATCTTTTTTTTTTTTTTTTTTAATGGAACATCAAAGATTTACTTTTTAAAAAATAAATCATACAATCTATATAAATAAAGTGTACACAATATAAAATGGTATCTTTAACAGATATGGAAATACTTATTTACATATTTTAAACTGGTAATCACAAACTACCATGATCATTGAAGTGCACTTGGTATTCTGAGAGTTCTTTGATAGCCGCACTTTGTGCTAGGAATCTTAATGCATGGGACACCCTACCACCAAGGAAGAATGAATAGGACTTGGGTCCCATAAAACAACAGGCGCTGGAGGTGGCAGCAAGAAGCCATGTAGTTAAGAGCCTACATGTCAGCTCTTCCCAGCAACAGTATCTTGGAATCTATCTCATACCCAGTTCATGGTCTCTTCCTCCTTTTCCTGTGACCTGTGTGTGTCCAGGGTACACAGATCAAGGTCACTAATGTTACCTCCCTCTGGGCTTTAAATTCCTCACCTGTAATAAACATGAACAAATGCAGCACCACCCCCCCTTGCAACATTTACAGGCTGTGGCTGTGTATCTTCATTTAAAGCTCACGACCTAGGTTAAAGTCAGAAGACAGCGAAATATAGAAACTCAACAAAAATTTCCTGTCATTTTCAACTACAGCTTGTATAGTTGAAAATAAAATCAGCTGTTATTACTTATCACCTGTTATATACCAGGTCCCAAATTAGGCACTTTAGTGCACAGATTTACAAATTTAAACCCCCTAGCGGTCCTAAAAGGTTAGGACTCTTATCCCCAATTTACAGATTAGGAAACCAGCTGAGATATTCAGTACCTTGACCAAGTGATGAGTGATGAAGTCAAAACCAGAACTGTGATCGATTCTAAAGACTAGACTCTTTTTTAAAAAATATTTTATTTATTATTTTTATTTTATGTGTATAAGTGTAATGCTCGCAGAGGTCAGAAGAAGGCATCAGATCCCCTGGAACTGGAGCTACAGATGGTTGTTAACCACCATGTGGGTGCTGGGAATCAAACCCAGGTCCTCTGCAAGAGTAGTCAGCACTCTTAACTGCTGAGCCATCTCCAGCCCAACACTGGGCTCTTAACTACTGATGTTCAGCAACACTGTTTTCTGTACTTTTGGCATATCCCCACTTACAATTCTACTTACAAAAAATTATACACACACATATACATGCATACACAAAGACATAGGATTTTGGTATAATTATTTTTATTTTCCATATATTCAACTAAGCAGTTCAGTTTCATTAGTTTTGGTTTGCTTGGTACAAGGAATTGAACCCAGGGTCTTTCACATGTTAGACAAATGCTGTACCACTGAGCTACATCTCCAACCCTTGGGTTTTAGATTAATTATTGTCAGTGTGTATGATGTTTCGGTGTACATGCCATGGCATGTGTGTGGGGATCAGAGGACAACTTTGTGAGGCTGAATATCTCCTTCCACCTTCATGCGGGTTCTAGGGACTGAACTCAGAAACTCAGACTTGGACATCAAGCACTCGACCTGCTGAGCCATCTTCCTAGCCCCCCACCCCCTTGTGGTTTGTTTTAAACTTTTTTTTTTTTTAATGTGTATGAATGTTTTACCTGCATGTAAATGAACCACGTGCATCCAGTACCCACTGAGGCCAGAAGAGGGTATCAGATCACCTGGAATTGGAATTATAGACAGTTGTTAGCCTCCATAAAGGTGCTGGGAACCAAACCTGGGTCTTCTGCAAGAACAGCCAGTGCTCTTAACTTCTGAGCCATCTCTCCAACCCCAACACCCTTGGTTTTTTTTTTTTTAACACAGCCCCATGTAGCACCGACTGGCTTTAAACTTGACTCTGCCTTTCAAGCATTGGGATAACAGGTGTATGCCAACACAGCCAGTTTCAATATGCATTTTTTTTAAAGACAAGATCCCACTAAATTACCCAGACAAGGCTTAACCTAACTCCATAGTCCAGGCAGCTCTTAAATTTGCCATCTTCCTACCTCAGCCTCCCAAATAGCTTGGTTTACAGTTTTTTAAACTGCATAGCTTCCTACCCCTTCCTCCTCTTGTTTGCCTCTTTCCCCACTAGTGTAGGTATGGACTCTTGAGCCCTAGGTTTCAAGGTCAGGGACCTGGGGAGCTTGAGTTATAATGAAGGAACAGGAAAAACCAAATCAATGCCATGGGGTGAGGGTGAGCGTGCTGAAGTCCTGGTTGGGGAGGGGGGGGGTGTCATAGCTTATCTCTTTTATGTATTCCAGTATGAGGTCAAAAGCTGGTTAGGAACTGGCCTGTTACTAGAAGGGAAAGGGAAACTTTCCTGTACCACTAAGAGAGGATAGGTGGGGAGACCTGAATGTTCTTACCACTGCCCTTCCTCTTACCAGTTATTTTTGGTCTCAGTGACCTGCAAGTTTCCGGTTAGTGAGAATGCAAACGACAGGAACGAGGTCTTATTATTGAAATGAATGCCACAAGTCCAACAAGACGCCCAGAACCCCTCCCCCGCAACACACTGCTTTTTTGTAGTGGACTGGGAGTTGAACCCAGGGTCTACACTGAGCAGTATTCCTCTCACCTCTCCCCTTTCGCCCTTTTATTATCTAAATTGTGACTCTGGTTCTTACAAAGTTGCCCACCCTGACCGTGATCTTGCCTCAAGCCGGATTACAGGCCCGCACCCTTTCTCTTTTCCCTTCACCTCTGGCCCTCTCTGGAACCCAGCTACCTAGATCTTTCAAAAGTTTGATTCACCACCTCCATCGAGTTGTTTGAATCTTATCACATAACTTTTCTCCTTATCCCCACACTGACAATTTCTGGATCTCTCACTAAGCAAGTAAGTGCCTGCCTACCCAAGACCAGTTTATCCACCACCAGTCCTCATTTGCAGGTCTGGAAAAGTGAATGGGCCAGGCAGCACCTTTGCAGCCCATCCCTTGTCACGTGGGACCCATCTTCTTGCCCCTCCTCACGCATGCGCCCCACTCACTGCCAGGCCAGAACAAAGCTCTAAATCCCGCCCAGCCCTTCTAGATCCGCCCGCTGCTCCGGAGACCAGCATCCTAATTGGCGAGCTGTGTGGGCTTGGATGTTGGCCCACTTAGGCAGGTGCTGACATCGCCCGCAAATAATCCACAGCCAGATTACCTGTGATCAGGCTTGTGGCCACAAACCCAGTTTTTTCTCCGGCGTCTAGAGAAATTCTCTGGGCCAGGTCTGGATTCTCAGCTACGAGCTAGCGGAGCCACGCCTCCACGCGCCTCTGACGGGTCCCTCTCTTCCTTCCCTCCTTGGGGAAAAGCGCAGGCGCTTCACGCTTTATCAGTAACTTCCTTTCTACCCTCCCGGGCTCAGCGCCCAGCAGCCAGCAGGGTGTGTAGGTGGGCGGGCGGGTCAAAGCCTAGATTCTGCTGCGGCTCTTGGGGACGGCAGCTTTGTTCGCGCCCACATGGCGCGCAGGGCTGAGCCCCCCGACGGAGGCTGGGGATGGATGGTGGTGCTCTCAGCGTTCTTCCAGTCGGCGCTGGTGTTTGGGGTGCTCCGCTCCTTCGGTGTCTTCTTCGTGGAGTTTGTGGCGGCGTTTGAAGAACAGGCAGCCCGAGTCTCCTGGATCGCCTCCATAGGGATCGCGGTGCAGCAGTTTGGGAGTGAGTGCTGCGCCTGGGTGTGGTACCCTGCAATCCTCGGAAGAGAGGGAAATGGAGGGGGAACAGGAAAAAGGGAAAGGCGACGGGTCGGGAGGATCCTGAGGGAGGACAGCTAAGACCACCTCGCAGAACCCCTTCCAACTTCCCTAGGCCCAATAGGCAGTGCCCTGAGCACGAAGTTGGGGCCCAGGCCAGTGGTGATGACTGGGGGCATCTTGGCTGCGCTGGGGATGCTGCTTGCGTCATTTGCTACCTCCTTGACCCACCTATACCTGAGTATTGGGCTGCTCTCAGGTGAGACCCTAGGCAAGGGCAGAAGAACCTTCCTGCTCCTTCCAAAAGGTTTAGGGAGAAGCTGAGTTGGAAAGGTTGGTTTGTAGCTGTGCCCTGAAGGAATTTCTTAAGCCCAGTGACTAAGACAAAGATAATGAAGCCAGAATACACAAGCCGAAGCCTAGTGGACTGGAGTATGGAAAGAACCTTAAAATTGTGCTGAATAGTGACAATAAGGTAGTTATCATTAGCCTATGTACAACAAAAGGCCTTCAAAGCTTATACAACTGAGTGAAGGAAGACTACAGAACCAGAAATGGTAGAGCTGGGCTGCAACTCCAAAGTTCTTTAGGAACATTAATCTTCCCCCGTCCCATAAAGCATGTTAACCACATTTTGCAGATGAGGAGATTGAGGCTGGGAGAGTAAGTATAATACAAGGTCACATCTGGAGTCAGAACTATTAACTAGGTCTGTGGGCATCCAAAGTAAGGGCTGCTTGGTAGTCGCTAGGTAGTATTGGGATTACTGGGTGCCTTGAACACCTCCAAAGACTACAACCGCCCCCCCTTTTTTTTCCTTTTTGACAGGCTCTGGCTGGGCCTTGACCTTCACTCCGACCCTGGCCTGCCTGTCCCGTTACTTCTCTCAACGTCGATCTCTGGCCATGGGGCTGGCGCTGACAGGAGTGGGCCTCTCCTCTTTTGCCTTTGCCCCCCTCTTCCAGTGGCTGCTCAGCTACTACGCCTGGAGGGGAGCCCTCTTGCTAGTGTCTGCCCTCTCCCTACACCTAGTGGCCTGTGGTGCTCTCCTCCGCCCACTCTCCCTGGCTGAGGACACTGCTGTGGGTGGCCCTGGGGCCCAGCTTATCTCCCTCCTCCATCATGGTCCCTTCCTCCGTTACACTGTTGCCCTCACTCTGATCAACACTGGTTACTTCATTCCATATGTCCACCTGGTGGCCCACCTGCAGGACCTAGGTTGGGACCCACTGCCTGCTGCCTTCCTACTCTCAGTAGCTGCTATTTCTGACCTCGTGGGGCGTGTGGCATCTGGTTGGCTGGGAGATACAGTCCCAGGGCCCGTGGCACGACTGCTGATGCTTTGGACCACTTTGACTGGGGTGTCACTAGCCCTGTACCCTGTGGCTCAGGCTTCCACAGCCCTGGTGGTTCTGACTGTGGCCTATGGCTTCACATCAGGAGCCCTGACCCCAGTGGCTTTCTCCGTACTACCTGAACTGGTGGGGACTGGAAGGATTTACTGTGGTCTGGGACTGGTGCAGATGGTAGAGAGCATCGGGGGGCTGCTGGGGGCTCCTCTTTCAGGTAAGGGGAACGGTATTGCTAAGTGGGCCAGGGTTGTGGTGTTGCATAACTGGGGAACCTATTTCCATTATGGTGTATGTGAATATTGACCTATGGTATGTTACAGGACACAGCCTGCATCATAGCAGTACTGAAATACATTCATAGGAGCACAGAACTTGGGGCCGGGAAGATCTGAATGGAAAGACAAAGTGAACCCCTTTGCAGACTAGGTTTCCAGAAGACCTGGTTTGACACAACACTTTAGTGTCTTTCTTTCCTTTGGCCCACTGGGCCTTAGCCCAGGTGTCTGAACCATCTGGTTAAAGTTCTCCGTACTCAAGATACCAGAACCTTCTGATCTTTAACACCTTTCTCTTAACTATTAACTGAAGGCTTAGAATGGCTACCATGGCCAGAAAGGGTTGACTTAATATGGCTCATGAAATATGCACAGACTGGTTTGAAGGGCCTTTCCAAAGGCAGGATGGTAGCAGCAAAGATCTTTTGAGGCCATTTAAGAGCTCTCATATTCATTTGGTCCTACCTTGGGATTTCCAGTTCTTCCAAGATGATGGGTCTTCCCTTGCCCCAAAATAGATCTAAGCTATCAGCCCCAGTATACAGATCACCCATGTATATTTGTTTTTCTCTCTTGGACCTAGGCTACCTCCGGGATGTGACAGGCAACTACACAGCTTCTTTTGTGGTGGCTGGGGCCTTCCTTCTTACAGGAAGTGGAGTTCTCACCACTCTGCCCCATTTCTTCTCCTGCTTCTCAGCTTCTACCTCCAGACCCCAGGATCTTGTAATAGAGGCACTGGATACCAAAGTCCCCCTGCCCAGAGAGGAGGGGCTGGGAGAGGACTGAACTCTACTCAGGAAGTAGGTGCGGAAAGCCAGAGGTTGTCAGCACCAGGTCTTCTGCATCACGGAGGCATCCACAGAAGCACAGTGCCTTAAGATTCTTGATCTGCTTCCTCCAGAGCAGACCTGGGGCTCCTGTGATTTTTGTGTCAACCCTTTGTATTTTGTCGAGGACTCTTGTTTCATCTCCTTTGCTCTCCCAACCTTTTCTGAAGGATCCAGGAGATCTTCACTGAGCTGTGAATCAAATCTGAAAATCAAAGGCCAAGAGACTTCTCATGTTTTACATGTGATTTATGGTGCTGGCTCCTAAATTTTTTCTCCAAAGACTCATGTTTGGGAAATAAGATGTCTCGTTGAGATAAAAACAAATAAGTAAATTGGACAATAACTGTAACCTCAAAAGGGGGTCCATGTGCTTGGGATAGCTGATAGGGTCATAGCTGAGCAGGGAAGTGGAGGTATCCTTGAACTCTGGTGACCCAGAGTTCTTCCCCTCTACCCACTTACCTTCCTCTTTCCCACTATCCCTGTGGTATAGAAAAAAAAATTAAGAAAAGTGTATATGTGGGGAGGAAGGTAGCTTAGGAGTTAGAACTGATAGAGCCGATGTCTGTCCCTTTTTTTAGTTTCTTTGAGACAGGGTTTCCCTGTAGCCAGGCATAGCTGGCCTAGAGCTCACTATTTAAACCAGGCTGACCTCAATCTCTGCCTGCCTCTGCCTCCTGAGTGCTGGGAGTAAAGGCATGTACCACCACACCCGACTCCTAAATCTTGTATTTGTGAAATAGGATCTCGCCATGTAGCCCCAGCTACTTTTGAACTTGAGATCCTCTAGCTTCCTACCAAGTGCTGGGATTACTGGTGTCAGAACCATCCAGATGAATTTGTTTCTCTGGTTAACAGAGGAAGCCTGAAATTCAAGAAAAATAAGGTTTAGAGGCTAGAGAGATGGCTTGTCAATTAAGAGTGCTTCCACTCTTCCAAAGGACCTGAGTTCAGGTCTGAGCACCCACACCAGATCCAGGTGATTCAATGATCTCTTCTGGCCCCCATGGCCACCCACAGACACATGGCATCATTAACACAAACACACACAACATAAATAAAAACTATTTTTTTAAAGTATGAGGTTTAGAGATGCCCTCTAACAAACAGAAACTGACTGGCTGACAACTTCTCAAAGACCCTCTTAAGGCAAGGACTTGGACAAAGAAAAATGGACTGACAGGAGGGGCAGACATCCTTCCCTCACCCCAGGACTCATGAGGCTCTGATGCGTTCAGTTAGCCTTTTGAGATATCTTAAGTAGAAAGTTTCAGGGTCCTGAGTTGGCTAATAGATCTTTCAGGAAAATCAGATAAAAATTCTTTATTTGGGGAGGGACTCAAATAAAAAGATCAACAGGTGGTATCCCGAGTGGACTCAGAGCCTCCTGTGGACAGCAGGGAAACCTGGGGAACTGGGAGCAACTCCCCTCTCTCAGGGGGAGGGGTGGCTGGAGGTGAGGCTGGACGGCAGGAGGGGAGTGCTCTGGGTAGCCCCATGTAGATGAAGCTGCCAGAGAGGATGAAAGAACTGCACACCAGGAAAGAGGCACTGAAGTCTCCTGTCTTATCCCTTAGGAAACCTGAGAAGACAGGTAAAGAATTTAGAGGCCTGGCATCCCAGGGGCAGAAGACAGTTGAGAGCGAATCTGCAGGCTCAGCCCTTACCTGACAGGGGGGGGCCCAGGAGTCCCCCGAGGCTCATCAGCATCATCACCAGCCCCGTGGCCTGTACCACGCCTCCAATGCCTACCAGGCCCGGGAGCACACCGAAAACCAGCGGGGCATAACTCCCGGCGCTCAGGCCATAGGCCCCAGCCGCGGCCAGCAGGGGAGCCCCCCAACCCTCCTCGGGCCCCACAGTGGGCACTAGCCCCACTGCCAGTACCCCGAGTCCTGTCAGAGACCCGAACACAGCCAGCAGCCGCGGAAGAGGCACCCAGCCCTGGTCTGCCAGCCATCCACAGACCAGTCGAGCGCTCGCATCTCCCACTGCAGCGACAGCCACCACCAACGCTGCCCCGTAACCCCCCATGCCCTGATCTAAAGCATGTGGGCCCAAGTGCACATAGGGGACGAAGTATCCGCCCCCAACCAAGGCCGTCCCCAAAGCAAAGACTGAAAAGGCTCGGCGCTTAAAGAGACCTAGACCCAGGGCAGCTAGGGGGCTGCGGGGCAGGGCCAGGGGGTCACCAGAGAGGGCTAAGGGTCTTAGCAAGGCGCCACATGGGGTGAGATGGAGGGTGACAGCACCAAGGAGGAGCAGGGCCCCCCTCCAGCCAAAGGTATCAAGGAGGAATTGCAAGGCAGGTGCCAAGAGCAGGGAGGAGGCCCCGTTACCGGTGAGGGCCAACCCCACCGCCAAGACCCGACGGCGGGAGAAGTACCGGGAGAGGGTACCTAGGGCAGGAGCAAACACCAGGGCCCAGCCGGAGCCTGCGAACGGATAGGACAGGGTGAGGGTACCATCAGAGTTGGCGGTTCTAGATTCCTAACCCCTTCCCACGCGCGTGCGGACGCACACACCTGCCTTGTTCGCTCTCCTACCCCGCAGCAAGCCTCCCACCCCCGACTATCGCCCCAAAAGACTGGGGTGGCCCACTCCTCTTACCAGCGAGGAGGCCCAGGCCGAGGTAGAGGTGCAGCAGGCTTCGGGCGAAAGCCGAGAAGACCAAACCAAGAGAGGTAAGGACGCCCCCAACCATCACCACAGGGCGTGCCCCCCAGCGGGTGCTCAGGGCGCTGCCCACAGGGCCTAGGAGGGGGCGAAGTCAACGAAGACATGCCCCGGGACCCCCAAACTCTCCAACATTTCTCATTAGCTGTTTTGAGTGCCCTGGTAACTTCTCCCTTTGACCTCAAGACACCCACTGTTCTAGAACTTGGTTCTACCAGGAGCTCGCAGAGGTAATCAAGCCTGCTGTCTCCCATCGCTACGTCCACGGCCTAGCCACCCGGCTCCCGCTTCCCACCTCCGGGGCCCCCCTCACTGGCTGCCTGTTGCACGGCCAAGGCCAGGGCGCTGACCCACGCAGTGTCCTGGGCGCTTCGTTCAAAGTGCTCCGCGAGGTCGGGGAGAGCAAGGCCCAGGGAGCGTAAGAGCCCGTAGGACAGCCCGTTCACCGCGAAGGCTGCGGCCGCCACCACCCAGCCCCAGCCCCCGTCCGGGGGTCCGGCCGGCTTGGGGGTCATCGCCGTCTGCTGGGGTGGGGAAACACCTGTGAATGAAGTCTCCACGCCTGGGCCTCCGCCAGGGAGCTGACATCCCTGAGATCCAGCCTCGGGCTGCTCGCCTAGGGTGGGCACGTCGCCCCGAGAATGGGCGCGGGAGCGGGAACCAGGCCTAGAGATAGAAGTCCTGGGTGCGCGTGAGATCCTGGGATGGGGACAGCGGATGCCCCAGGCCGAGGACTCCCCCTCCCGCACCCCTTGCCTCTTACCCGACCTCTCCCGGCGCAGGGGGTAGGGGGAGGGCGAAGGTGGGATCGGCCGGGTTTTCTTGCCGCTATCGCGGATGGCAGGGGCTCGGCCGAGGAGCGAGTGCAGAGATGGAGACCAACTTGGACCCGCTCGGTCCGTAAACAGAGATCACCACAGGGGCCCGAACCACCTGGGACGCGGGAGGTGGGGTGAGTACCGAGGGCGGGGGCAAGCAGAGACAGCCAATCCGCCGAGCTCGGGCTGAAGCCTGACACCCAGTCCCACGGGGATTGAATTATCCACACACTACCCTCAGCCCTGGATAGGAACCGAGAGGAATGAATGCCTCCCGGCCGCGCCCCGCCCCTCCCGGCGCCCCGGGGCTCACGCCCACGCACCTGCCGCCTGCTGCGCAAGGAAAAAGTGCGGGTTGCAATCCCTGCCTCGGCCGCTGCCCACGCGTGAAAATAGCGCAGGTCTCCAAAGCCTGCAAGAATGAGGGGGTCCGGGTCTCTGAAATATTGCTGAGGACCCTGTAAACCTCTGACCGGTACCAAATCACTGAATGATGAACACTAGCCCGCCTTCAGAGAGGGAAGAGGTCTTCCCAATACCGTGATCTGGGATGTACTGGTCGACTTTACACATGTCATTTCATCTTTACAATAGCCCTACCTATGAAGACGGTACCACTCCCATTTTACAGATGAAGAAACTGACACTTCAAGAGATTAGGTGATCTGCCTCAAATCTCTCAGCTTAAGGGGAAAAGGCGGGGAAGCATTTGAATTTAGGTGTATCTAACTGTGGGGCCATACAAGGAAAACAGCCCTAGGAGAGAAACAGTATCTGCCACGGTTGAGGGAAATGATCTGGAGACTGATGTGAACCGCCCTAGAAAGGGCGAGACCCGTGCAGATCTAGAAAGCTTAGGATTCTCAGGGTGCGTGGGAAGGAATGAAAGAGATCTTTGCCACCAGAATATCTAAAGACTTAGGCTAGAATTTTAATGGCAAAATAAGAATTCAGAGAATGAATCCAGGTGTTGATTTCTTGAAAACTATAATAAGCATCCTTTTTTCACCGGTTAGCATTGCTTTACTTAAGCTGTTTGTATCAAGAACTGTGTTCTTTGGTTTAATCATTAAACAGGGCCATTGCAATCCACCCCCCCCCCCATTACAGGTTGGGGCGTGCATGGAGCCATAGCCACACGATGGCAGTGTTTCCTAATTGTTAAGAAAGCATCTGCCTATAAGAGAAAATAGCTTAAAAGTCGTGAAACTGGAAGCCTAAACAGCACAGTGTAACTTTTGATAACTTTCCACTGTGTATAAGGCCTTTCACAATGATCAAAGGTAAGCCTAGGTTACCTTTCCATTCCCTGTCTCTCAGCCCCCAGGAATTAACTGCTTACCATGGGCATGTCTACCCTTTTCTCACCTCTCTTTTCTCTGTTGAAATGACCTAGTACAGGAGACTATGAAGGTTTAAGGCCCTACTGCATACACCTTAGGAAAGTAGCCTCACTGGTTTTACCAGCCAGGAGTTATTTCTGTGAATGCCACTAGGGTAGTGGAGCTAGCAGGCCCTTGGCAACCCAGGAGGCAGAGCTTGTTTCCTGAGAAGGCTGGGGTGGACTGCTGTGAGCTGAACCAGGCCAACTGAAAGGAATCACCTTCTCTTTGGTGAAGTATAAATATACCCAAGGAGGAGACTGGGGCCTCTCGGGCTGGGCTTGTACCACATAATGCTGAGCACTTTGGCAGGATGCAAAACCTGGAAGCCTAGACGAGGGTGATTGGTTCTGAAAGGGCACATTCATC